GTTTATTTGTTTATTCTAAACGACAAACATCCACCTCATCCACTCTTATCGAATCAAGAGGGTAGAAAAAAACCTAAATAATAATGATGATAAATATTTAATAAGGGGAGATGAAGGAGAGGGAGGGGGAATTTTTTTTTAATTAAAAGTTTCGTACCTGAAACATATCGTAAATAAAAATTAAAACGCATGATTCGGACGACACGTGATTTATTACGAATGAGCGTCGGAAAAAATTTCTTTTTTTTGGGGGGGTTGGGGGGGGAAACAACCGCGTAAAAACCTTATAAGATTTAATAATAATAATAATAATAATAATAATAATAATACCTGAAAATCGTCGTAGTTCGAGAAAACACTTTCGATTTCTTCTTCTTCTTCTTATTGTTGTTTCCTTTTACTTTTTCGATCGTAAATTTTTTTTTTTTTTGATTTTATTTTTTGCCGTAAATCATTTTTCTCATTCGTTAAAATCTTTTATAATATAACACTCAACCTCCTCCTCCTCCTCCTCCTCCTACTCCATTTTTATTTTTTCTTCTGCTGTAAAAAAAAAAAAAATTTCGCACGTTTAAACCCTTCGATAAATAAATAAATAAAAACTAAAATGATAATAATAATAATAATAATAAATAAATAAACACGTGTAAGCAACAACACGAGAACGCAATGCGCGTAATTTTTTTTTTTTTATTATTATTATTAAAACCTTACTTAGAAAAGAATACCTTGAAAATAATAATAATAATGATAATAATAATAATATTTTTATCGATTGAAATTCAAACCACGGATCAAAAAAAAAAAAAAGAAATGATGATGATGATAATAATAATAATAATAGAAAAATAAAAAAGGAATAATAGTATAAGATTTTTTTTTTTTTTCAATGATTGCGTTATTATTATCATTATCATTATCATTATTATTATTATTATTATTATTATTACAAAACGACTTTTTCTCGGGTTTAAAAGACCAAAAAAAAAAAAAAAGATACGAAAGGAAATGGTGACATTAGTATTCTTCCCCTGTTGTTGACGTCTTCCTCGTTTGTTATTATTCTCCTAGGAAACGGAAATGCTGTGACGCGTGGGCCTTATTATTATTATTATTATTACTACAAAAGGGTTGTCGCACTTTTTAATTTTAAAAAAACTTGCGTCAAAACTCATTGAGAAGAGGAAATAATAATAATAATCTAACGCCGATTTTATAAACCGATTTAAATTTTTGTATCATCATCATCATCATCATCATCATCATTATTATTATTATTAAATAAACCGACGGTGGTTTTATTTTTTTCTTTTGTTGTTTAAAATTACAACAACAAGTGTTTCGATTTGTTGTGGGCAACGATTTATTGTCCCCATACTAAATATGGCGAAACAAATTGGTTTTAAAAAAAAAACAAATAAATGAATTTACAAGAAGAAGAAGAAGAGGAGGAAGAGGAAGAAGAAAAAAAAAAACCTTTGGCATGACATTTGACTTTTTCCATTGAATATTTTGGCCCCAAAATAAAAAATAAAAAAAGGATTTGTTTATGAAACATTTCTCCCCATCCCCTCCCCTCCCCCCGCCCCAACCGACACCGCCGCGCTCTTTCATTCAACTATTTTAAGATTCATTTTTTTTTTTTTTTTAAATAAGACATTTGAAGTTTAAACTAAGGTAAACGTGAAATTCTCTTCCCTTTAATTTCATTAATCAAAGTCGTTACGTTCGTTTTCATTCATTCATTCATTCACTCACTCGATCGCTCATTCATAAAAAAAAAAAAATCTTATGACGTAGTGTTGATGTGTTATTACGTCATTACGGACTAACGTATTAATTAATAATTATTATATTTTTCGGGTAACGTGTCACCTTCACGGACGTCATACCGGAAGGGAAGTTCCGGAAATGACGTTATCCCCCACCGCCACCCACAACGAGTATTTAAAGTACGCGAGCGCGCGCGTAAAATTTAATTTTCTTTTTAAATAAATGATAAAAAAGTGATAAATTTATTATTATTATTATTATTATTTTTACGCCGACGGACGACATCCTGAATTAAAAAAAAAAAAAAAAAAAATTTATAAACACCTGGAAACGTTTTTTTTTCTCCCCCACCCCCACTCTTTTTATTATTATTAAATAATTTCCGGTTATGAAATGACGGCGGGTTAACCTACGATGATGATGATGATGATGATATTTTATGACCTAAAATGAATGCGTGGCGCGATTAACACTTGTTTTATGTTATGTTGAAAAAAAAAAAAAAAAAGTGTGCTCGCCGAGATTTTTTTTTTTTTAAATTAATTCCACGCCATCCCGCGCCCCAATTATTTCCCTACCGGTTTCGACTTTCCTTTTCTTTGATAAATAAATAAATTTTGTGTTTAAAAATCCGCCCCCCACACTCCCTACTCGTTCGCCCGCCCCCCGTGGAGAAACACACTATTATTGCAGGTTATATACGTAAACACTCGTTCTCTTTCCCCTCCTCTCTCTCTCTCTCTCTCTCTCTCTTTCTTTCTCTCTGTCTTTCATGAATTTTCAATTACCGGAAATGAAGTTATTTATAATTATTAATAAATAAATAAAATATAACCGGTAGTAGTGGTAGTAGTAGTAGTAGTGGGAGTTAAATGAAAAAATAAAACATGCATGTGTATATATATTATTATAAATAAGACCATTGATATTCATCCAAAATTTTAAATTATTATAATTTAAAATTTCTCTCTCTCTCTCTCTCTCTCTTTCTCTCTTTCTCTCTCTCTCTTTATCTAAAATTAAACGTTTTCAATGCTACAATGAGAAAGATTTCCGTTTTTTTTTTTTAAATTAAAAATTTTCAAATACAATCGAAAACGATATTGCGACGATATTTAAATTTTAAAAACCTATTCGAGAGTCATATCGTAATAATCGAAATCGAATTTTGTATTTTGTCAACGAAATCGAGAATCGAAATAAAACCTGAATCGAATATATATATATATACACATATAAAATAATAATAATAATAATAATAATAATAATAATAATTGGATTGTCCTATTGCAAAACATATAGAAATCGTATTATTAATATTAATAATAATAATTTTAATTATGTAAAATACATAGTATAGGCTTTAATAGAAATTTTTTATTTATTATTATTATTATTATTAATATTCAAAACGACAAATATTTCGTTTGTCGAATTGAATGATGATGATGATGATGATGATGATGATGATGATGAAAGGGGGGGTGAAGACTTCGCATTTAAAAATATCTCAACGACTAAATATCACATCACACACATCTGTCTCTACGTTGGGGCTCAACGTATGTATTTACGCGGGGGGAGGAGGGGAATAAAAAGGGAAGAAAAATTCGTAGAATGATATTCGAACGGTGTAACTTACAGAAGAAGACAAGGAAAACAAATATCGATTACGACAGTCAAAAAAACAAACGGGGAGGGGGAAGAGGATACGCAAAAAAAAAAAAAAATTTAATTTTTTCTCTCTTTAAATGGGATGCTGCGTGCGTGAGAGGAGAGGAGAGTTATCATCTCATTATCACACTCTTATCATTCAAATTACATTCTTATTAGTTTTTTTTTTTTACCTATTGCGATACAACTTTACTTTACTGTAAACAATGATTTATTATTTTTAAATCTTAACCGACGCGACCTCTCGAAAAAAAAAAAAAAAATTTCAAAATCAATTTAATGATAAAAAAAAAAAAAAAATCCATTATCACAAACGTGTCAACTTCGTTTCAACAAAAAAAAAATTCAACGACTAATAGATAATAATAATAATAATAATAATGTAAATAAGATGAGTCGGTTTATTTTAATTAGAATGTGTTACCCGCCTACCTGATTTCGCCTCAGGATCAGGTTCACAGCATCCGATTTTACCTCGTTTACACAATAAAAAACGATCGTTTTAAAATATCTGTATTAAAATCTATCTCTATCTCACTCTCTCTCTCTCTCTCTATTTAAATGTCTATTTACACGAATCTTTTTTTTTTTTAAATTGATGACATTTATTTTTTTTCTTAAATTTTATTTACTACGTTTCCCCCCTCCTCCTCCCTCCCCCTTCCGTCCCTTTAAATCTTTATCTATCGTCTTAATAAGTAAATTATTTCGAAATAACTTTCACCGAAAATAATAAATAATTGACCAATTTAACATGTAATAATAATGATGATGATGATGATGATAATGATATATATGTGTATATATTATTTAATAAAACGAAGCCGGGGTGGGGGCGCGGGAGGGGAAATAAATTTTCCTACGGGAAATCGACAAAATCGTTTTCTGACGTGTCACAAGAATCGTAGGGGGGAAAAAACACCGCCATAAAACAACATTGAAAGAATTAAATTAAAAAAAAAAAAATTTTTCCCAACGTCATCGTTTATCTTTCTATGATTTACTAAAGAATATTTTTAGTGTTATGTAATTGCGTAAACTCTATAAATAAATAAAACAACCGGTGGTCACACGTGGATCTTAAAAAAAAAAAAAGTCAGTCGGAAAACGACAAGAAAGAAGCAGAAGAAAAAAAAAAAATGGCGTTCGCGCCATTTCAAAATTAATTCGCCGCATAAAATACAAAAAAAAAAAAAAAAAAAAATGTTGGATGCATTTTAACCGTTACCATAATAAAAAAATTAAAAATCCCCAAAAATTTTTTTTCCCTCCCTCCCTCTCTCTCCCCCCTCACATTTTCCCTCCTTCTTTCAAATTCAAATGATAAAAACAAACAATATAAAAACAACAAACATGGCGAGCAAATTGTACAAGAGTTAAAATTTTTTCCCTCGATTTGTAAAAAAAAAAAAGTAATTTTGTATTTTTTTTCATTTTTTTTTTTTTTTTTTGTTTTCTTTTCTCATTTTTCTCTTTGGGCCTGTGTCTGTTTTAAAGTTATGCTTATAAATAAAATTATAAAAAATCCATTATTATTTGAAAATTTTGGTGTAATGATTAATGAAACAAATCAAACGAATAATAATAACGCGGCAAACGAATCCGAATCCTTTAATCTATTACTTAACAAACCGGAAGCTCATGCTCTTAAAAGTGGTCACTGCATGAAAGAAGATTGTAACATATGCAAAGCATTGGTCAACGTCGAAGAAAGTCAATCTTCGGTTGTCCTTCCCATACCCGCAAAAGATTGTAGGGATTTAAAAAACGAGTCAAACGTGAGTGTTTACGACAAAAAAAAAATAATTCCCCTCGCGGTAGTAGTGGTAGTAGTAGGGGGTAGTGCAGTAGGAGGGGGAGGAGGGGAAACCCCTAAAACGATCGCGCCCGTTTTTTCATCGAACAAAAAAAAAATTAAATACGATTTTAGATATCTTTGGGAATATGTAGAATATGTCACTGTAATCCAGAAACCTTACCGGAATTGGGTCCCTTACGATCCGTTTGTAATTGTCGTGGTACCGTCGCACTTGTTCACATGATATGCTTGGAAAGATGGCTGGCCGAATCTGATACGTCTTCGTGTGAATTATGCCGATATCAATTTACTGTTGAAAGAATACCAAAACATGGTACATTAGAATCCGTTTTTGTTTGGATAAACGAAGTTGCTGATTTTAATCAGGTATGATTAAAAATTTCATTCAAATTCATATATTTTTATTAAGGTTACATACGACAAATGATAATGACTGACATTTCAATAAATGTCCCCCCCCTCTCTCTCTATCTCTCTCTCTCTCTCTCTCTCCCCATGTATATTTATACGATAGAAAAAAAAAAAAAAAAAAAAAAAAAAAAGGAAAAAAATTTTATTTCAGGTTAAAAGAGATTTTATTTATTTTTTAACGACTCTTCCCATGATGTCAATGTTGGCTGCTGTTGCCATAAATAACATAACCCAAATAGTAATGAATTGTTTATGCGATGGCAACACGACATCCCTCTACTGCTCAGGAATTAACCAATTCGTTTTTTGCATGGCCAAAATAATTCATTACAACTTGAAATTTAAGGTTCTCACCTTATTTACTACCTTATTAATACAGTACATATTCAAACAAATTTTGATTTTTTTTCAAAAGGCAAGGTCCACGACATCTTGTTTTAAAAACGCGACAAAACGCGACAAAACGCGACACAATTATTATTATTATTATTATTATTATAAATAAATGAACCTTAAGTTTCGAGTTAAGATTTGTGGACCTTGACCTGGTCTATCATTATTATTATTTAAAATTTTTTTTATTGGATGTATTACCTTTTTTTTTCTTTTTGTTTTCCTTCAAGATTCTTATGGACACGATATGGTTTTGGCTCATGACACCCTTGGCGGCTATGGCCGGATATATATTCGTAAGGGCGACGTCAGAATTAATAGATGATAATTTTCCAACGGACGCACCTTGGTTAATGGCAGCCCTCATGCTCAATTCTTGTTTAACTTTGGTAAAAAAAAAAAAAGAAACAATGATAATAATATTTAAAACCTTATTTACATTCTCATTCCTTTATTAAAAAAAAAAAAAGAAATACTTTTAAAATCTTTCTCTCTCTCTCTCTCTTTCTCTCTTTCTTTTTTGTTTACGTGTGACGTGCAATAAATTAACGGATTTTTACGTTTAACTTTTAAAGAAAAAAAAAAACGTCAAACTAAGTCACTAATATCAGAGATATACCAAAACGACCGCCTAATAATTTTAATGGAAAAAAAAAAAAAAGTTAACATTATGTAAATTATATACGACTGACTATATAAACAAAGTCGATTGAATTGTTCTAGGTCGGTTACTACGGATGGGTAATGAATTCTGTAAGAAAACACGTATCATCTTGGTACAGATGGTGGAGGACGATGGATTGTATAATTAAGATTCACGTCCCAGAAAAAGAATCCACTTCTCCTCCTTCTTCGGAAGTTGAAGAAATTACTTCGACTGATTTAGATCCCGATGTAAATTCAAAATTTTTCTCATTTATATATATTATTATTATTATTATTATTATATTGAATCTAAAAAAAAAAAAAAAAATAAGCCGATTTTAAATGACGTTTTTTTTTTTTTTGAAATGGTCACGAGATAGAAAGAGAGAGAGAAGGTATCGGATGGAAAATAATTTTCACGTTACGTTTGATACCTGGACCACCCAGGCTGCGAATAAATAAATAAATAAAAAAAAAAAAAAATTTATATATGAGTTTTTTTGTTTCCATTTAAGGGACAGAAAGGAGAAGGAGAAGAAACAACGTGTTTACTACATAATTTAAGTGAAACTTCAACGAACGATTAATAAAGAGAGAGAGAGAGAGAGAGAGAGAGAGAGAAAGAAGAAGAAAAACATCTCAAAAGTATATAATAATAATAATAATAATTCGGCAAAGAATTATAAAAAAGTAAACCGTAAAAAATATGGCATGAAATCCAATCGGAAACATCTGCCCTGGAAAATTTTACGTGGAAAAACATTCCACAAAGGGGTAGATCAAACACACAAACAAATAAAAAAAATTTTTTTTTTTTTTGAAAAATTACCGATTTCAGAAAACCGGATGTAATGAAAAAAAAAAAAATAACGAAACCAAATCATTATTATTATTATTATTATTATTAATTAAATTAATTATTCGATTTAGAAAATACGCACGCAATTTTTACTTTTTTTTTTCTTCGAAAAATATTAAAAAAAAAAAAAAAAATGAAAACGTTTTGGAAAATCAAGTTTCTGAAAGTTATTATTATTATTATTTTTCATAAGGATACGACAAAAAAAAGTAAGTAATAATAATAATAATGATAATAAATTGAATAACTCGAAAAACGTTTTAGAATCGATTAATCAACTCATAATAAACAAAAACGTTTTACTTTTTTTTTTTTCAATTTCAGAAAAGAAAAGTAAAAAAAAAATGCCTTAACGAAAGAAAAACAAACAACAAACAAACCGACCGTAAGTTAATTTCAAACGATTTGGAAAAAATGTTTTTTTTTTTTAATTATTATTATTATTATTTTTTATTTATTTATTTATTTATTGGTTTAAACCGAAATATATACATTTTTTTTTTTTTTTTTTTTTTGCAAAATGTCGACAAATTTTTTTCGACAAAAAAAAAAAATTACGGTTAACAATAACGGTTTGTTTTAACGAAAAAAAAAAAAAAAAAAACCCCGACCGAATATCATCGTCCTTATTAAAAACAAACGCATTCCGTAATAATAATAATAATGATAATAATAATAATAATAATAATACACGAATTCATTCAAAGTAAGCCAAAGGATGTTTGTTTGTATGACTTTGACGAAACGAAAAGTTTTTTTTTTTTTTTTTTTATTTAAATTACGTAGCGATCCATCGTTTGTTTTGAATGAAAAAGTAAATGAGTTTGTCGACGTTTATGACACGCACGCGTTATGCGTGCGTGCGTGCGTACGTACGTACGTACACGCATTTCGAGAAAATTCTATTTAATAAAAAAAATAATAATAATTATTTTCCCAAATCGTGGTTGATTGACCGATTGTGATTGAATTTTCTCTCTTTTTTTTTGTATTAATGTCGTAATAGTAGTCGTAATAATAATGATAATAATAATAATAATAATAATAATAATAATAATAATAATAAATATTATCGACACGTACGATTAAATGACGACGTATTATTTACTTTAAAAAAAAAAAAAATTTTCCAAATAAATATCATGCGCCCGCCTGGAGGATATATTGACTCAATTTGGGAAATGATTATTATTGTTTCACCTCCATCTTTTCCCTCTCTCTCTCTCTCTCTTCATTCATTTCATTATTATTATTATTATTATTATTATTAAAAATTAACATAATTCTTCGTTTATTGATTGCGAATTACTTCATTCAAAAAAACATTTTGTTAATGCCAAATAACCATTAACGGTAAAACCCTTGTCTTGATTATTTATTTGAATTAATAATAATAATAATTATTATTATTATTTTTATTACGTTTACGAGTTTTAATTTTTTTTTTTTTTTCGATTTCGTTTATTACACGATCGTGATTTGAAATTTTTTAATTTTTTTTTTCAATAGATACCTGATCGTAATGAATAATAATAATAACAATAATAATAATAATAATAATAATAATAAACGACAGAATTTAAATTTTAAATCGCACCACGCGCGCAAATTATTTTGTTTAAACAAAAAGTTTTAAAAGTTTTCGTAAGTATTAATTTACAAAAAAAAAAAAAAAAAGTTTAAAAATTCGCTGAAAACTTTAAAAGTACGCAATAATAATGATAATAATAATAATAATAATAATAATAATAATAATTTCATTTCACGACGCATTCCAAAACCGTAAAAGACATGAACGAAACTCACATCGAGTTGAGAATATTAATTTTTTTTTATATCGAAAACAAAAACCGAATAATAATAATAATAATAATAATAATAATAATAATAAATTATGATAATAATGATAATTATAAAAAAGGCTATTCAAATTTTTAGTTTGTGTACAAAACGAATTAAGAAAATTTGTGAATATTTTATTATTTACCTTTGAAAATTTTAATTAACTCCCACCAAGGTAATGAAAATTGCTTAAACAATCCTTTTTTCTTTTTTCTATTTGTACAATTCGATAAAGTATAGGGAAACCTGTCCCCCCACTTCTTTTTTCTTCTTCGAATCCCTCATTTTCCTTAAACCACGGAGTTACCTTAAAATATAAAAGAGAACATTTTTGTAAAAATAATAAAAATTTTCAAATAAATAATAATGATAAAAATTTAATTTTTAATAATGTTTTATTTTACGTTAGAAATATTATTATTATTATTATTATTATTATTATTCGTTCAGGAAATCAGTATCACAACACCGGAAACAGTTGTCGTTGAGCCAATGTATAAAACGTATAAAAATGAGATGCACTAATTTAAAAAAAAGAAAAATTCATCTTTTCTAGACTACTTCCTTAATTTCATTTTTAAACTTCCGGTTTAAAAATAATAATAATCGAAATGAATCAAATTTTTTTTTAAATTTCGGGGGGAGGGGAAAACAAAACAAATTTTCCCGCTTTTTTTCTATCCAGTCGAATTTTCCAATTAAAAAAACAAGAAAAAAAAAATTACTGACGTCAAACAAATTCAAAACGACCGTAAAAATTTTACAAAAACGATTAATTATATAATAAAAATTTATCCGATCAGAATCTATTAAATGTTAACAAACATGCAAACAAACATGCAAACATGCAAACAAACAAACAAACAAACGAAAACCACAACAGCATTAATTATAAATTTTTTAAACGAATTCTTTCAATTCATGATTTAACTTCTGTTTTTTTTTCCCATTTATATCAACAAATGTTTGTTTTTATCATTCGAATTATTATCATTATTATTATTATTAGTTTTACTATTATTATTATTATTAGTTTTATTAATATTAAACAACGACATGTAAAACGCGATTGAAATCATTATAAGTAACATGTAGTTAAAAAATATGTGAAATGAATAATAAAATCAAAACATCGTGAACATGAAATTTAATATTTTGCATATAGAACGTGTGAACGTTAATAATAATAATAATAATAAATTAATTAAAAATAATAATAATATTGATTATTATGACGATGATGATGATCATAAACAACGAGAGAAATATTAATGGCAAAAAATATTAAATTCCATTTTTGGGAGAGTCCAAAGAATTTTTTTATATAGTCCTCCATTTTGTTTTTTTTTTTTTTTTAAATAAATATACTCACGAATTATGTATGAATAAATAAATAAATAAACTATTTGATTATTAATGAAACAACTAAAATAAAAAATAAAACATTAATAAATTTTGCATATGAGCATATATATGAATTTTTTTTCTTTTCTATACTCCTCTCCCATTTGTTTCTGTTTTTTTTTTGATTTATTCTTAAAAATTTACATTCAATCACTTTTATCATCATCATTATCATCATCATCATTATTATTATTATTATTTAAATAAAAAACCTTGATATGAGATTAATAAAATTTTAATGCGTTAATTGAATCGTTCGAAATGGTTAAAAAAAAAAAAAAAAAATTTTAATGTGTTGTAATCAATTGATAATAAATGACATCGACCGTTATAATTATTATTATTATTATTATTATTATTAATTTTTTTTTTTTCATCGTTTTGCCAGGATGTCCAACTTAACATATTTTAATTTTTATGCGTAATAAAAAAATCGTTAATTCTATCGTCACATTAAAAAAATTTTTATTATTTTATTTTTATAATCGTCGCATTTAAATTTTTATATATAACGAACGTGTCATCGTCACCGTTCACGAATAATAAAATAATAATAATAATTTTTTTCAACGTTAATTACGGGTAATTAATTTTATTATTATTATTATTTTATGAAAGGTTTAATAAAACCATATGATATTTTAATAAATAGAAAAAACTCCAAAAGCCTGTAATAAATAAATTAATAATAATAATAAACAAACGATTAAATTTTTTTTTTTTAAAATCATTTCACGAACGATTTATAAACGCAAAAAAATATTAACGATAGCAAAACAATAAATAATAATAATAATAATAATAATAATAATGGAAAAAAAAATTTTTAAATAATTATATAGAAAGTGAATTTAAAAAAAAAAAATTTGGCGGGAGTTTTAAACTTTAAATTTTAAATAAATGATGGTAAAGAATTGATTTTCTGTTAAAAAATTTGAAATTTCATTCGAATAATAATAATAATAATGCATGAATGATAGTTTTTTTTTTTTTAAACAATAATGATTAATAATTTAAAATGTTTAAACGAAAAAAAAAAACAAGTCTTTATAATCGTACCACATTATACCTGGTTAAACTTGTTAAATTTTTTTTTTTTTTTTTGGTTAAACACATTTAAAACATGAAAATCTTTGAATTTGATCATAACATAATCGATAAATGAGACAAGTTAAAAAATAATGTGTTAAAATAAATTTAATTTTTTTTTTTTTTAAATTCTTTTCATTGGGTCACACACACACAAACTCCCATGTTTGTGAGAGTTTATAAAGTAATGCATAATAAAATGTCATTCGACTCTCAAACATTTTCAAATTTTTTTCCTATGTCGAGAAATAAAAAATTAATAATTAATAATAAAGTAATGCATATATATGAACTTACTGTTATTATCACAAAATAATAATTTATTGTCTGCCATTATCTTTTTTTTTTTTTTTTGGAAAATGACACATTTTCCCACTTTTAGTTTGTTAGTTTTGTTAGTCGATACAAGTTTTCCTTTTTTTTTGTGGTGTTATCTGTTAAACATAGATATATTTTTTGTTAATATTAAAAACATTAATTATGTCACATGCTAAAACTTACCATTACTACCATTAATCATATAAATTTATTATTATTAATGATTGTCATATAATAAGGTCACAAAATCAAGGTTATTATCAAACATAAATAACAATTGAATCAAAAATTTTAATATATATATATAAAAATATAACAAACCTTTTAGAATTAAGAAGATTTTTGGCATTGTAAAAATGTACATGCATGATTATGTTAAGGAAATTTTTTTGTAATGAGAAGTTTATGTGATTGTTAAAACATTTATGCTTCATTTCATGGATTATTTTCTTAAACACACCACCAAACAAACAATAAACCAATTATTGATGTTTAATTTCATTTCAAAATTGAATTGCTTTAAGTTGTTTTATCTAAAATCACAAATTCAGACATTATAAAGATTCCTCACATTTTAAATGTAATAAAAATGTATAAAAAATTATAATACTTTTCACGTATAATTAATAATAATAACATTTAAATCAAAAATAAAACGATTTAATTATAAATTTTACCGTCATTTTCGATGAAATTCAAATGATAAAATCAAAAAAAAGAAAAAATTTTTGAAACAAAAGAACGCTTTCAAAATGGATTCGAACGAAAAAAAGATGACGTTTCAATTTTGGCGGATGTTTAACGGTCATTTTAATTGTCAGCAAAATTTCTTATCGTGAACATTTTTTTTAAAAAAAAATTCCATTCTGAGATTATAATATGCCTTTATCATATCATTTAATAAATATAATTACGTATTTTTTACATACTTGATTAACTATTTTAATAACGGTCGTTTTCTTTCTTGGAAAGTCTTCCATTAAAAATTTTTTTTTTGCCTGATTCGACATAAAAAATTTTTCCCTCGTGAAAAGAAATTTATGGGATTAATTGTAAAACATATTCGTCGAAAAGAAAGAAATAAAAGAAAAACACGATTTATTATTTTAAAAAAAAAGTAATATCGAATCAAAATGGCAGCACATTTATAAAAAATAAATTTTTTTTTTTTAATATAAATCCGCCTGTGGAATTACAAAGAACAAACCGACGCGCTTGTTAAAACCGGAAACGGATGTTACGCACATGAATATTAATAAAATTTTTTTTTTTTTTTTTATTACATGACCAATACAGTAGCCAACCTAAATTTGAAATGTTTGACGTCGTTGCCAACGTCAATAAAACAAACAAACAACAAAACGATTCAATATAATCATCATTTTTCCTTTTTTTATTGTCGGTAATGTTTTAATAATTTTTTAAATTTTATTATGAAATTAAAATAAATATTAATCTTTTTTATTTCTTTTTTGTTTTTTTATTATCACCAAACGATGAAATCGTTAACGGGAAGACATTTATTATTTTCCATCGTTTCGAGTATCAAACTTTTGCCGCCATATTGGAAACAACGATTCGCGGAATTTTGCAATGAAAAAAAACAACAGAGAAAAATTTAAAAATTTTCGCCTTCTAAACTCTATACGTTATTTAAATTCATAAATATTTTGACCGACGAAATATTAATAATAATAAAAGATGAGAAGGCGCCTTAATGCAAAAACCCGGAAATTGTGTATTTAAAATATTAATAAGTATTCATACCATATATGAAATTATATTTTTTAATAAGGCAAATGGTTAACCACACAGAATGGGATTGTAGTTGTGTTGTTTAAAACAACAACAACAAACAAACAAACAAATATATATATATACAATCAATCTAATAAAAATGTACGTTAATTATTGTTCTATTTGAAAACATTTTTAAGTTTTTTTTTTTTTAATTAAAGTTTGATTTTTAGGTAAAGTCATTGAAGAAGAAACCACTTGAATTTAATTAAGAGAAAATAAAAAGAAGAAGGAACACATTGAAAAAAAATTAAATCAATCAACCAAACAAGTTAACCAACAACCCTCAGGGAAAAAAAAAACAAAAACAACAACTAATTTAAAATGTTTTTCATTCTATTTAAAAAAAAAAAAAAACGAATTGATGTCTAATTAGTTTAATTTCAAACACCCACGCATAATTTTTAAATTATTTTTTTTTAAAAAAAAGGGTAAAAAAAAGAATTTGTTGTAAAAAAAGACAAAAACCGTTAGATTTTAGAGGTACATAAAAATGTTACAGAAAAAGAAAATTATTGGGTTGAAAATAGGAAAACGTTAGATTCGAACGAGTCGAATTCGTTTATTTAACAAGAAAAAATCATAAATTTTCGCCAAAAAAAAAAAAAAATGGCAGAAGAAAGAAAGAATATTAATGACACCTGGTGAAAAATAACAAATTATGTGTGATTTACAAAAAAAAAAAAAGAAAAGAAAAACTGATCTAGTAGAATATGTAATACCTTAAACCAGACACGCACACGCACACGCACACCACACGACATCAATTAGATAAATAACAGGAAAAAAAAAAATTTTAAATAAAAAGGAATTCATAAGCCATTCATCCGCATAAATCCTTTTTTAAGATGTCTTGACGCGCACGAGTTAATATGGGTTATGTATTAATAGACGAAAGAAACGGGGAAAAAGATTGTCACGTGACACCAAATTTTAAATATATATATATATAAATAATTATTTGAAGGGGGGGAAGGATGGATGCTGCTCCATCATTTTGAATCAATTTGCCAAAGAATCTTTTGGTCCATTTCTCTTTTTACATTTTTAACAATTTTTTTTTTTTTTTTCAAACTTCCGGGATTTATTTTGTAATAATAATAATAATAATACATTACCGAGCACGTGTCTTCTTTTTTTTTTTTTTGTAAAAAATATTATTTTTGTTTGTGTTTTAAAAAAAAAAAAAAATAAACGCGATTCGAATTAAAAATTTATTTTTATTTTTACCTTGTTTTTTTCCTTTTCCCCTCTCCTCCTCTTCCTTCCGGTTGTCACTTCATTCGTTTTATTATCATTTTAACCGGGATCGTAACGGATAAAAAACTTCAAATATGAAATTTCGAACGAATTCAATGGCGGTTACACTTGGCAATGGCGGTTACACTTTTTCATTGTTTTTTATATTAAATCGAACGCTTCCTCCCTTTTTACCCGTTCAATATGAACATATAAATATATTTAAACGTTTCGAATAAAAACTTTCGGTAAATAAAACGAAATTTTCGAATTAAATCGTTATTTATTTCTTCCCTTTTCGAATCGCGTACCATGCAAAATTTTCAAGGACTACCAGAAGACGTTTACGATAAATCGATTCCCGCCACTTTCGATAATTCATCGATATTGATGATACACCCGCAAAAGGAAATAACGGAGGCTTTGAAATGATGAAAAAGTAGGCGGAGGAAGAGGACGAGGAGGAGGAGGAGGGGGAAGGGGAAGGGGAAGGGAAAACGAAAAACCGTTAAAATTTAAAAAAAATTAATTTCATTTCTTTTTTTTTTTTAAAACATTTTTTTTTTCTTTTATTATTATCATTACATTTTTTTTTTTCTTCTCTTTTTAAATTTTTTTTTTTAAATTTTTTTTGTAACGGTTGTTGACAGTTCGGTACACTTAATTCTATACAAGTGATTCACTTATCTTACAATAATCATTATTATTATTATTAACATTTAAAAAATAAAAAATATGATAAAACGTTTACAATAATTAAAAGGTATAAAAAAAAAAAAAAAAAAAAAAAACGAAAAGCCTCATTTAAAAAAAAAAATAAATTAAATAAGAGCAGAAGCCGCAAAAAAAAAAAAAAAAAAATCTTCCTACTTTTTGTTTTATTAAGAACCGTCACCGCCACCATCTTTTGTTCCTTTCTGACCTGTTAAAAAAAAATGGCGGATCAGACAACGAATCGGGGGTGCGTGCGTGCGGGTGTGTCACGTGACTTTTATACACCTCTTTCTCGCGAACTTAAATGATTTAGACACTTACCTCTGCTTGTGTGATTAATTCAACTGCATCCGATTTCCGACGATTTCTTTTTGAGTACGATATCCTTTATGTTGAGATTAACCTTGACCTTGTTTTTCCTTTCCGGGGGAATCGACTGGAAACAAAACCTTTTGAAAGCTTCCAATTCTCTTTCGTCGTCGTCAATGTCACCGTTCTCCAAATCGATGTCTTTGGGTTGGAAAACACTTTCTGCAAATCACATCGTCTATGTTACTTGTACATTTTTCAACGCCTGAAAACACAACAGGCTGCCGACAACACATGAAATCTAATTATCCCGAAAAAAAACCGTCGTTTCCCTTCTTTCGAAAGGTTTGTCGTCTGTTGCCTCCCCCCACCTTTTACCCTTTTCGATCCTTTTGGGTTCAAATCGAAAAAAAAAAAAAAAAAAAAAACGTAAGGCTTACCGACGGGTTCAACCTCTTTTTCATCACCGGTTTTTCCCTTCTTCTTCTTCTTCTTTTTCTTCTTTTTCGACGACGTCGTCTGGCAATTTTGCGATGAGGACGACAATGACGTGAGAGATTGTTGGCTAAGCAAATCTTTGACGATTATGTTACTGTTGTTGCCGTTGCCATTGCCGCTATTATTGCTAATGTTGCTACTGTTGCTACTGCTGCTGCTGCTGCTGCTGCTGTTGCTGCTGCTGCTGCTATTGCTCCCCCCTCCCTTTATGTTGAGATTTTTCATTTGACGCGTCAATCTATCATCCGGATCGTGAGATGAGAGTTTAAGGTTTTCCATTTTGTCATTTATCCTCGTGACTTCGTCTGTGAATAAACCCGCGTTTCCGTATCCGTTCATTCCCAATTTGTAAGCTTGACTGTTTTGATAGGCTTGTATGTTCATGGCTTGCTGCAAAGCCGGACTCCGAATCGTCACCATGTTATTGCTCGTTTTTATAATGGTTGCTTGTTGATTCTCTAAATTCGGCAACACCGACATGGCTCCCTTATTGAGGGCCGATATATTTTTAGGCACTTTCACGCCGAACCTGGACTGATTTATGGCGGTCATGCTCATGGCGGGAGCTATGTTTTCCACCTGCTGTTTATTTTTCTTTTTTTTCTTTTTAGAACTTGTCGTCACGTTCATCGATGCTGCCAATTGGGAATTTTCTACAAAAAAAAAAAAAAAAATTTCATTTCAGACGTTTGAACCTCGCGCGCACGATTCGGTATGAGAAACCCCTCATCAATCACCTTTTATGACATCCTTGAGACGTCCCGTATCCACGACTATAACATTTCCGGGAGGAGGATTGGGTTTCAATATCGGAGTCGACATAACGATGGGCGGGGCTGGTTTCGGAACTTGACTAGGTTGCACCGGAGGTTTAACTGGCTTCGCCATGGGTCCTTCAATCTGAACAGAGAGAAAAAATTAAAAAACAAACAAACAAACAAACAAACAAACCGACGCCTCGTGTCGTCGTCGTCCTACCTTCGTGATTGTTATACCCGGCGGAAGCCTTAAATTTTCCAAATTGATTTCTTCCTTGGGGGGCGGAGAGGGAGCTATGCTACTTAAAACTTCGCTCAACCTGTAACTCGGAGTGTTTATTATTACTTTTCCCTTATCGTATTTTTCCGTCGAACCCCTCCAATTGATTTCAACGTCTTGCAATGAACCTTTCAATACATTTTTACTTTTGTCGTCACACCTTTCCCCCGCGTCCTGTGCTCGACATATTTCCAAATTTGGAAGCCTTTCCTTGTTTTGCAATTTTTGCAGTATCGTCATGTTGTTTTTATCGTTGCTTTGAACGGTTCCCGAATTACACGATTTGTTATTTATGAGTTGCGACGTCATTTTCTCAACGGATTGCACGGATTCCTTTTTTTGTTTTTTCCCTTGCTTATCATTTCCATTATTATTATTATTATTATTATTATTACTGGCTATGCTACTCTGAACCTTTTCCTTTTTACCATTTTGATTTTGATTACTGTTACTTTTTGAATTTTTACTATTATCACTGTTATTATTATTATTTGACATTTCTTTTTGGGAATTCCCCGAATTTGATTTCTTAGATGTGTTACTCTGAACGTTGCTGTTGTTGTTGTTGTTGTTTTTCACATTCGTGCTGCTGTTGCTACTGTTCTTACTCGTTTTGCTGTTATCGTTATTGTTAGTTTTATTATTACTACCATTAACAACTTTATTATTATTATTATTATTTTGTACATTCTTTTTCCCTGCGACGACATCATTTTTATTTCTCTGCTTATTTCCCGAGTCTTTGCTGCTTTTGTCGTCGTTTTGATTTTGACTTTTCACACCGGAAACGTTTTTCTGACCGCTTCCTTTTGAATTTAATACTGTGGTAGAATTACTCGAACCGTTCAATTGATTTCCAGTCGTTAATTTTTGACAATTTTTAGAATTGTCGGTTGTACTCGTATTTTTGACGTTTGAATTTTTAACCGCGTCTACGCCGATTTTCGACGACTGTTTGATTTTGCTGTTGGAAACCAATGTTTCCTCCCCCGGATTTTGCTTTTTCAAATTCGTTTCCTTTTTATTTTTAACCGATTCCACGCTCATCTCTTTACCCTTTTTTTTCTTGCCGTTGTTGCCAATTACCGGAGATTGTTCGAACAACACGGGAACGTCGTCATTCTCTTCGTAAACATCCGATTCTTGTTTCCCCTTCTTTTTTTTCTTTTTCTTAGACGTTTCATTTATTTCCGGTTTTTCTGGTTGCACTGAAAAACAATTTTTACTTAATTAATATGAATTCAATAAAAGTATCTATCATTTAAACATATAAATGCGTGGATATTACTCATTACCGGCTTCGCTTCCATTTTTCAACATGAATAAAACTTTATCTTTATCCGGAGTCGATCCTTTTAAGGTTATTGTCACGGTTGGCTCCGCACTGAAAGGAGACATGACTCTTCTTATTGTAACCATTTTCGGCACTGCGTTCGGATCTGATTTCTCTACTAAACTTTTCAAACCGGATAAATTTAACGTTTGAGGCTGCGACTGTGGGGGCAGGCATTGTTCCTGTTCCTGTTGCTGGTGTTGCTGCCGTTGCAATTGCTGTTGCTGTTTTGTCGGCGGAAGATTTTGCTTAGAATTTTGAGATCTTGAAAAAAAAAAAAAAAAAGAGTAATAATTGTAAATTTTAAAAAAAGCTAGTATGGTATCCCAAGTTTTGGTATTCCAACCTTTTTTTCTCGGCTTCTTCTTCTTTTAATTTTTCCTTTTGCTTCTTCTGCTTTTGCTTCGCTTTTTTGACTGCTTTTTTAGAATCTTTTGTTTTTTCTTTTTTTCCACCCTCTATGTACTTAAGCAGAGAATCTAAATCTAAATTTCCTTTGTACGAATCTTCATTTCAAAAAAAAAAAAAAAAAAATTATGTATTCATTTGATTTTTATATACATATATACCTTTTTTTTTTTTTTTTTCAAACGATATACCTTGATTTAATATTGAATTATTTTGAGATTTCGAATAATTTCCCCCAACCTTTTGAGGATTCGGTTGGGAAACTTGTTCGGAAGGAGCCGCCGCCGTTTTGCATTTGGCTGATTTTTTCATGTTCAGTCGCATTCGAAGTCTTTCTCTCATCTCTTGATAATTTCTACTGACAGGTGCGACCGAAGGCTGCGTTACAACCAGAATATATTATTTTCCATCACATCGATTGAGAAAGTAACATTACAAAACACTTTTAATCATTCTTCGACTTACCACTCCGTGTCCGAATACTTCACAGTAACAACAATCGCAATGCCTCGGATCTTTTTGCGTTGAGACATACGTCGAATTTGATCCCTCGGAACATGAATCTTCGTGACTGGACAAATCTTCTACTTCCGATCCTTCTGCGAAGAACATTTATATCCATTAAGAAAATTTATCGAAAAAATAAATGAATAAAATAAATAAATAAATAAAAATCTCACTTTTATTAGTGGCAGTTTTTTTAATACTTTCTTGAGACTTTGATTTGGTGCACAAATGCGGCTTTGGAGTTCTCACATTACGTTCGTCCTTACCGACGCACCTGAAAGATATAAAAACAAGGTATTTTCCTAACGTCTGACGTGGTGAATTTTCCGACGTCTTTTTTCAACGACTGGTTTAATACCTCGTGGGAGTTCTCGTGCTCGAATTGGATGATAATCCCAATCGCGGGGGCGGCGATGGATTCTTATCCGCCCCTTTGCTATTGCATCCTGGCATTTTTAAACAATTCGTCCCATGTTTCAAACAGCATTTCCCACAAATGCCCGAGATTACGCAACCGTTTCCTTTAGAATTCCCTTGAGTTTTCCCTTGACCGTTTTCTAACGCATGCTTTTCCAACTTTGTATTTTTTTCTTTTGAAATCGCTTCCTTACCATCCGCAACATCCGATTTCTTTCCCTCGTGTTTAAAATTGTTTTCTTTATTTTTCTCACCGTGAACATCTTGGAAAATTTCATTCGGACAAATCGAGTCAGTTGATTTGGAGAAGGCGATGGGTAACTGAGATTTATCAACGGGAAAATTATTATCCATTTTAGGAGTACTTTCGTTGGGAGTGGTTGATGCAGGTTTAAAAGGCGATTTCGAAAGACCTTCTTGAACGGGAGGAGGAGGGGGAGGCGGAGAAGCTGACGGTTGAGATGCGGCGGCGGCGGCGGCCGCGCAACTATCTAATACTTCTTCTGACAATTGATTTTTCACCGAATTGTTTACCTATAAATAAAATAGAATTGTATTTTTTTGTTTTTTTAATGACACTCGACAAACAAAATCTTACTAATGATGATTGACTGTCAATTCCCATCGAATTGGACTGGATATGTACATTGTAGAGGGGAGGATAAAAAAAATCTGCATTTTTCGGAAGGCTACCATAAACATTTGGTATATTTTTGGCTTCTGAAGTTGTCCCATGAATATGCGGGTACAGTCGAAATCCTTCTCCGTGTAGGTTATTTTTAGATCTTGTCTGATCGAAGGCCAAAGAACAGTCCATTAAATCGGACTAAAATTTATAATGAATAATTAATTTTTTTTTCAACTCTGTAATTAATATCATTTTTCATAAATTTAATGCCAAAAACAAAAAAAAAAAAAAAAGAAAAATTTACTGGCGGCATGGTGCAAGCATGGCATTCACAAGATTGTGCCTCTTCTCTATCATCATCTCCATTTTTAATATCTGATATATTTTGTTTTATAGGAGACCGAGATCGAGACCTGGATGGAGTGTTATTCCCTAAAGGCGATTCTATACCCAACAATATATCTAAAATTTAATTTTATAATTACTTTTTCATAAAACATAATAATAATAATACTAATTAATATAAAAAAAAAAAATGTAACCTTCGCAAGATATCATGTGAGTAACGGTACAATCGTTGCAAGGACAACCTCGCCTTGTCATACAGTTAGGACAATACTGTATAGCACCGTTTGGTGTTAAATTTGTATGATTTTTCTCATGAGCCTCTTCTAAATTATCATCCGAAGTGCATAATTTATTTGAAAAAAAATCTTTCATCGCATCTATGAGATTGTTTAATTTTTCATTTTCTTTCGATTTTAAATTTCTGAAATGAATATTTATTATCGATTATTTTATAACTGACAATTTTAAAAACAATTCATTTGACACATTTTGATCGAAAACCCATACCTGTATTCCTGAATTAAAGGTTCAACGTTTTTCCACATTGTACCTATAAGAGTCATCTCTCTGTCCAATGCTAAATATTGATGAACTAATTCGTGATAAATATCATCTTTAAATGGCAACATTTTACGCAGCTGCAAATAAATGAAAAAAAAAAAAAGTAACATACAGAAAAATAATAAAATGCTACATGTATTCCAGATGTGATTAAAAGACATATTAATTTTTTTTAATATTCTTTCTAATTATGTTTCACATTAATTTGAAAAAAGAAAAAATTTTTTTTTAGCAACAGCCTTGAATTAAATGAGCCATAATATTTTATCTTTTTTTTTTTTTTTTTAAATTAATTAAGGTTAGGAATGTAAAAATGTATTTATTTTACCTGTTCGATAAATCTCACTAAATTTTGTTGTACATCAAAGTGATTATATACCAATGAGCGATAGAGTTGCTTATTAAGAACTTCCCAAGTCAAACCAAACCTTTGAAGTTGAGGTCCCAAAAGGTTGTCAATTGTTGGCGATAATTGTAAGGCAGATGTTAATAGTTTGACGTATTCAGCAATCAAACCTAAAATGAATTAAACAATTCAAATATTAATATGTACTGACTTAATTATAAAATTATGAGAAGTTTTTTAAAAGGTTCAATACCTTTTATAAATAATTATCATACCTGTTATGAATTCTTCAGCCAATGCTGGATTATTTTCATCTTTTAATAGGTTTAACTGTCGAATACGAGACTCGAGAACCATTGAACAAAGTTCATCTTCAATTCTTATAAAAAGTTGATAAGGATCACAAAGTTTCATACTAAAAAAAAAAACAAATTTTTTTTTCTTTTCTAAAATTAAATTTATGTATGACATAATTAATGTCAAATTTTGTAACGATTACAATTAAAAATTTTGCAATTTTCATTAGATTAGGTGTTTAAAACCGAATAATCGAGGGGCAAAAAAAAAATTCGTTATTATTATACTAACACTTGTATCACTTTATGAAGTTCTTCATTGTTTTCAATTGATATTGATTCATTTTTTTGAGTGAATTCAAAAGGTGATTTTAAATAAACATTCCTTATATAATTTCTAAATTCCTTCCAACTTGACAAAAGGAGTTTAGCATTTTTTTTATCATTATTATAAGAGTCGAATAATTGTGAACATCCTTCACATTTACATTTTCTCGAACCCAAATCCATCGCAGAACTATTTATGGGCAATAACCATGTCAGATCATCTTCCGAATCTGCAGAAAGGTCCTTAAATAAAAAAAAAAAATTCTTATTTAAATTTAATTTCAAATCACACTCATTATGATACATGTTAAAATTTTTAAATAAAGTTAAAAAATAAAAAATTTGTGACAATAGAAACGTAAAATAATCAATATATAAAAAATTTATATTCGATATACTTGAAAAATAGTTTAAAATCGTTTTTTTTTTTTTAAATATATATATTATTTTTATCGTAATAATTGATGAAATCGGTAAATGACACCAATATACCTTATCGGATTCACTCTCCGAATTAGGTCCAGAACTTGGAGCAAAATCAACATCTTCCCTTAAAACATCTTCAACAGATCGTGTTAAAGATTCATCTTTTTCGCACTCCTTCCCTAAAACATCACCCATGTTTCTACAATTAAAATCCTTACTATTGTCAACTCTCTCCGATCCGGCACAATGCATTCTACTGCTTCAATATTATTTAAAATAACTATTATAATGCAATATACACAGTTCGAATCATTAATAACTTATATAAATAACTATTTTAATAAAGAATTTTTATTCTTTTTTTCTTTTTTTTTTTTTTTTTTTGTTAATTTTCAACCCAAGCTAACTAACTAGAGAATACTCTCGCTATACGGGGCAGTAGTGCCTACTATCGAAATAAGAATTCCCTCTGATTTTGAATTGCAAAGCCTCCGCTATCATCAACCTCCATTTTTTTTTTTTTTTTTTAAATACTCGATCTTTTGTTTATTTATGTAAATTTGTGTTTTACCGCCAAATTTTTCTTTTTATTTGTTATTATAAAATTAACTTTTAATATTTATAATTTAAATAATTTATTCGAAAAAAAAATACCTCTGGAAAAATATATTTATTAATTTAAATCAAATTTTTTTTTACGAAAAATAAAAAATCTTCAACTTTCATTAAAAATTTTTTTCCATCTTGTTGTCAAAATAATAAAATTCTGTCAATAATTATTATTATTATTAATTTCAAATCTATTTAATTAAAATGAATTTAAAATAAAAAGAAATTTAAATCCGGAATGTAAAATTTTTATTTAAAAAAATTTTATCCATAAGCTAAATATCAAAAAATTTTTCTTAATAAATAATTTTATCCTTTATAACGTTTTCGTTTGTTTTCAACGCTTGTAAAAATTCATCGACGTTGCATTCGTAAGTGAAACCCAAAAATTCATTTCCCTCGAAAAATTCTTTTTTTTTATTTTTCAACGGAGTACACATTCTATATTTATTAATTATTTCATCGGGAGATTTCAATTCGGGATTGTTGACACCGACAAAAGCTCTGGATTTCGTTTTGTCAACTTTATTATGAACAAGTTTCCAATAGAGCATAGGAACGGGTAATAAACCTTTTTTAAATTTACCACGTTCGAAAACTGGTGCCACGACGAGGGGACCCCTCGTCGTTGGAATGCTTCCGTATGTTCCCGTATAAACCTCCCAATCCTGTGGATTTTCACGTCTCATATCCCTCGCTTCCCTTTCGACGAGCGACCATGAATTTTTATTAAAATCTTCCCATTGGGGAGCCGCGTTTATGTATTCGCAAGTTGCTTTCCTGTCGTTTTCATCGGGGAAATCCGCAAAGGGAGCCAAATGACCCCTGTTGAAATAATAGGGATATTGTTTTTTGCTGTTGTATTTTTGCGGAAACGAATTCGTCGTACGATTTTTTTGAATTTTTTCAACGTAACCTTTCGATATTATAACCATTTCGTTAACCGTTTTACCATATCCGTCGAATCCCCAAACGCTATTCCTTTCTTCTCCTGGTATGTGTTTCGGTGGTTTTTCATTTGTGCTCGGTTGAAAAACGTATTTCGGTCTCATGACTCTAGAATCTAAACAAACCGTGTACAAATGTTTGTTATTGTTTCCGTTCGGTTGTCGCGTTTTCATTTCGTAAACTTCCAAATCCGGTCCATCGCATTTGAATATTTTCGAACCTAATTCCACGGGTGATATTTGTACCGCTAGGGAATTTTTATGATATTCGCTTTTGCAAAGTACGTCGTCGAATTCCAAACTTTTATTAAATTTACCATCGGTACATTGAAAACTATATGATTTATCCGGTAAATCTTTTCTTGCGAATCCGTTACTGCAAGCAAAATTAATGGCGTCACCGTGTGAAAAATTATCTTTTAATTTATCCTTTGATCTTTCCGGTGCGGAAAATTTAAATACTTCTTTATAAACTTTTAAATTTCTCACATCCTCATCCAAATTTATTCTGCATGCTGAAAACAATAAAAATAATAATAATAATAAAACAAAAATTATTATTGAAAAAAAGGTAAATGACCTTTTGTTACCCCGTTTGAAAAATTTTTTTTTATTTAAAAAAAAAAATAATTTGATAACAGATTCTCTCTTATCAGCAAATTTAAGCAAAGCTAATCATAAATTAAAGCCTACGAAAATTTAATATACATGAATTTATTTATTTAAAATATTTCTACGATTATATAAATGAAACAAACGAACAAACAACAATTTAAAAAAAATTTATTTTTCCCATAGAAAATTCTAGAAATTTTTTTTTTTGTCCCAATAATAAAACGTTATTGCGAATTAATTATTATTATTATTAATACTTTTTCTTGATTTATATATATAAATCGTCGTAGAAAAAATGTTTGTTTGTCGATGAAAATATTTCCTAAGGGCAATAATAATAATAATAAAATTGTTAGGTTCCGTTTGTTTGTTTGTTTGTTTACTCTTCTTATAATAATTTCTAATTATAACGAATTTAAACGATTTTTAATTATTTTTAAACATAAAAATCAGTACAAATCGTTTAAAAATTTAAAAAAAAAATGACCCACAAAAAATTTAGATAAACTGGATTTTTTCGAAATAATAATAATAATAATAATAATGTTGCTAAACTTGAAAATTATGTTAACCGCCTTGAAAAATGTGTAAAAAATAACAACAACAACGACAACAACCGAATAAATGTTGTTCTAGTTCCTATAAAAACATTACAAAAAATTAATTTTTATATTAATTATTATAATGTTATTGTACTTAATAATAATAATAATAATTGTAATAATATAAGTAAATAGTGTCTCACCTGATTTACATAAAACTTGATTTGAAATTGTTAATAAAATTAATATAAAAAAATATATAAACGACATGTTGAACATTAAACGTCATCGAATGTGGCTTTGAAGCAACTGAAGATTTATATGCTAATGACACCTAAATAAACGTTTTAACTATAGTTAAAAACACGTGACTCGATTATGTGTTATGTAAATAAAATAATAATAATAATAATTTTTAATTATAATAAATTCTTTTTTATATATTTTTTTAAATAAAATCAAAATCTAAAAAGAAAAAAATTAATAAATTAATAATAATAAAAATGATGAGTACGATGATAAAAATTTGAATTTTCGCGGTTTTTTTTTTTTTTTTTTAAATGTGATATTTATTATTGTTGTATTCTGCATCAATTTGTAAATAAGAAATTTATCGAACCGTTTAGAAATCAGTGTTACCAACATCTTTTTTTTGTTCGTTTTAAATAATAATTCGATGAAGTTTAAAAAATGAAAAAAAAAATAAAAAATTTGTTTGTTTGTTTGTTTGTTTTAATTATCATACAATACTTTTAATATTTTTTCTTCTTTTCCCAAATTTATGAGAAATTCATTTAAATCGCATTCGTAAGTGAATCCTTTAAATTCGTTTCCGGAAAAATAATTTCCCTTTCCGTTCATTTTGGGTTTGCATATGAGGTAACCGCCAGGTTTAAATTTTTCGGGTGAATCCAATTCGGGATTATTTACTCCGACGAAAACTTTCGAATTATTTTTATTTTCCAAATTGTAAACCAATTTCCAAAATAATTTAGGTATGGGTAAATAACCCTTGACGAATTTTCCCTTGTCGTTAAACATCGGGGATGCGTATAAGGGTCCTCTAGTCGTGGGAATGCTCCCGTACAATCCCGTATATATTTCCCATTCCCCCGGGTTGTCTCTCACCAAAGCTCTCGTTTCTTTCTCAACCAACGACCAAGAATTCGCATTGAATTCTTTCCATTGCGGTGCCGCGTTTATGTACTCGCAAGATGCTTTTTTATCGTTTAAATTAATGAAATCCGCGTAGGGTGCCAAATGTCCTCTGTTGAACGTGAACGGATATTTTTTTTTGCTGTTGTATTTATTGGGAAATGCGGCCGTCAAACGATCCTTTTGTATTTTGCTCACGTAACCCTGAGACAATTTAAATTTTTCGTTTGAATCTTTACCGAAAAAATCAAATCCCCAAACGTCTTGTCTCGTGACGTTACTTTTAACCGGACTATCCGTTCGTTTGGGTTGAAAAACGAATTTCGCTCTCATGACGTTCGTATCGAAACAAACGTTGTATAAAATACTCGTCGTACCATCCGAACCATTCTTCGTTCGAACTTGATAAACTTCCAGGTTTTTACCGTTGCAGGAAAATAATTTCGAACCTAAATATAAATTAGGTATTCGGAGAGCTTCCGTGTGTTTGTGAAAATCGCTTTTACACATTAAATCCTCGTACGTGAGCGTTTCGTTAAAATATCCGTTCGTGCATTCGAACGTGTAATTTTTATAATAAAATTCATCTTTTATAAAACCGTTCTCGCAATTAAATTCCACTACATCTCCGTGACGTAAAGTTTTTTTGCTACCGTTAAAAGAATCCAACGGTCTTTTCCAATGAAAAATATTTAAAAAAATTTTCGATTTTCTCGACGATAATGATATTAACGAACAATCTGAAATTGTTATTATCATTATTATTATTAACCAATTAGTTAAAAAAGAAAATTTTACAAATAAAAATAAAATTTTTTTTTTTTTTTACGACTTACTATTTTGTTCACCCAAAATTAATTCCGTCATTAAAATAATAATAATTAAAAATTTTTTAAACATTTTTTTTTCTTTTAATAAAACAATTACTTTAACGATAATAATAATAATAATTGATCTATTCCACTCTTTTTGGTTTTTTTTTTAATACCTAAAATAAAAAAAACCGTTAATTAGAGAAAGTTTTTACAACAACTTTTTTTTTTCCTAAGAAAATAAAAAATCATCAAAGAAAAAAAAAAAAAAAACAAGTTATTAAAATTACATTTCCAATACTATAAACTACTTGTATTGCGAATAATAATAATAATAATAATAATAATAATAATAATAATAACAATAAGTAAAAAGAAAAAATAAATTTTTAAATAACCGTTGTTAATGTCAAGGTTAAAAAAATTTTTGTTTAACAAAAAAAAAAAAAAAAAAAATTATTACCTATTGTTACTATTATTATTAATATTATTACTTATTGATTATTGCTAATTAAAATATAAATAAAAAAATATTTTATATATAAAATAAAATTACCTGCGTGTGTGTGTGTGTGTGTGTGATGAAATTAAACAATTGAAAAACGTGACTGATGTATGATCTAAAAATTTTGTTTATTAAAAAAAGAATTACGTAATTGTAATTATATTGAGAGGAGGTAATAAATTTCAATAGATAATATTATCAATGTTTTTTTTTTTCCTAAACATTTATCGTCAAGTTAATTTTTTTTTTTTCTATTGTTCACCTAAAACAAATAATAACAATTTTAATAAATAATTTATATTAATAAATAATAATAATAATGATTTTCTATTAAAAGCTTCAATTGTTCGAATTCAAAAATGTTTCAATTTGAAGAGTCTTTCATTAGAACAAAATAAAAATCAATTTAAATTTTTTCTTTTCTTTTTCAAAAATATTTGAATAAGTTAATAATAATAATGATAATAATGATAAAACTGTACTAAAGTCAGGAAGTTAATTTCCACAATTATTGATTGATGTTAAATAATAATAATAATAAAAAAAGAAGGAAATTCCTGAAAGGCAAAAAGAAAAAATTAAATTTATCGTTTATACAATTTCCAACTTGGAATATAATAATAATAATAATAATAGTGATAATAATAAATTTCTTTTTAATTAATTATTATAAATAAAATGTTTTTAAAAAAAAAAATTTCTTTTTTTTCCTTATTTCAAAAATAAATTTTTTCCACATTAAAAAAGTGTTACGAAAAGTATTGATTAATGATGTTAATGATAATATTGATAACAATCAGACTTGTATTGATTAATCATTAAATCTAATAGAAACACACAAACACATACAAAGTCTCTTTCTCTTTTGTTTTTTATAACTGTCAAGAAAAAATTTATTCGATTAAAAAAAAAGAAACCTTGACAAATGTAAATTTTTTTCTCACATCAAAATTATTATTTAAATTGTTTCATAAACGCTTATTAAAGTGTATTGATTATTAATTACCTAATAAATTCATACAAAAGTTTAGATTTCTTACATATTTATTTATTAATTTTTGTTTTCGAAAGGTTAGTTGTTAATGTAAGAATTAAAAAAAATGCAAATAAACACTTACCCCCCCTTTTTTTATTTTGTAGTTGACAACTTCACATATCACATCAATTGTTGTTTCTTATCGAATTAAAAATTTTTTAAAATCAAAAAAAAAAAAAGTAATTAATTACTCATTGATAAACTTCATGTTTGTGTAAATAATAAAAATTTATTATTAATCATTAGGCCATTTTTAAAATTTTAAACTGGTGTTTGTTATCTTGAGTTTGTTTAATTACATGATTCACATCTCTTAAATCTATTATTTATTTCATCTAAAACATAACAAAAAAAATAAAAATGAATAAATAAAATACTTAAAAATCATGCAATTATAAAAAATAATATAAAGAAATCGTTGAGACGTTTTAAATTTAAAAGAAAAAAAAAAAAAAAATTTGCATTAAATTTGACAGGAAGTCTTTTCTTTTATAACTTCATTATTAGAATTCAAAAAATCAAATTAAAAAAATGAATGATTGAACGTATTTTTAAAAATAATAAATTTTTAAATAATATTAATTCAATTATGCAATAATTAACCTTAACTTACGTTAATTAATTGAAAAAATAAACGACAAAGTCAAAAATAACATCATCACTTTAACTTACTTTCCGCCATTTTGAATTGTTTACCATAAACCGTTAGATATGATGGAAAAAATTTCTTTATGTCAGCGGAAAAAAAATTAAATTTAAAAACAAAAATAAACGCGATAACAATTGTTTTTATTTTTAAAAAGTTATTACCTTTTTATTTTTATTTTATTTTCGTATTTTATATATAAATACAAATTTTATGTTTTACGAAATGTGACGTCATAAAAATTTTAAAAAAAAAACGTTAACCGTTTTCTAATACATCGATTAATAATAATATTTAAACATTAAAAAAATTGCATCGAATTGGGAATGCACGATAAAAGTTTTTTACCTTATCGTTTTTATTGATAAAAAACGGGTTTTATTACAGTTTGAGAAAGGATTTTAAATATAAGAATTGACCTCAAAATATTTTTTTGAAAGTATAAAATCAACCTTGTAAGAGAGAGAGAGAGAGAGAGAGAGAGAGAGACAGACAAAAAAATTCAATTTAAATAAAACTATTTAAAATGCAACGACGAACGTTTATATTAAATAACAACTTTTTGTTTTGCAAATAACGAAAATAAACGAATATTCACCGCATACTAATTTATTAAAATGTATATAAAAACGACAAAAAACAAAAAAAATTCGACGACGCCGTTACAAGTCACACGAATAAATACTTTTTTTCCCTTAAAAATTGTTTCGGTTAAAAGGAAGCAACAACAGCGCCAAAATTTCGCATTTTTGCCGCCAAACACAATTTGTCGCAAAAGTGAGAAAATCGCGATTCAAACTTGCGACAAAATATTCTCATCAACGTTTAAATTATAATTTTTTTTTAAACTAAAATCCAAATAAAGAAAAAATTTTAAAAATAATTATAAAGTTATTGAAAATAACAATACGACATTTTGAACGTTTTAAATATTAATAAGATATTATTTTTGTGATAAATAAACAACACACACACACACTGTCCATCCAAATTAAACTTTATTAGAAAAAAAAAAAAAATACAAAAAAACTAATGTTTAAAAGAAAAAAAATTTTTTAAAAAAATTAAAAAAAGAAAAAATAATAATAATAATTATTATTTTTTAATAAAACAAAATTTATTAATTTGAATGTAAAATTATTTGTGTGTATATAATAAGGCTCATCATTTTTATTTTTTATTGTATAAATAAAAAAAAAAAAAAGTAAACACAAAAACAAAAAAAAAAAAAAAAACGAATAAAGTATCAATCAGTAATCAATAACTCTTACTTTTATTTTTTATTTTATTTTTATTTTCCTTGTTTTTTATTTTATTTTTTTATTATTTAATTTAACTAAAAATTAATTAAACAATTTTTATTTTCACTGTCAAGTAAATAACGCGAAAAAATTCAAATTGTTTACAAAAAAAAAAAAAAAAAAAACATGGATTATAAATTTTACGTTTTAAAACGTTCTCTTTTAAAAAAAAAATGACCCGTTGTTGTTCGATATAATCGATCGATATATCGACCGATCGATCGATCGATCAATCTTTTTTTTCTTCCTTTACGTACTATCGTACAACCTCGTCAAAAACGCGCGAAAAAAAAAAAAAAAAATTTCAAATAACACAAATCTCTCATCTTTCTTTTCTGTTTTTCTTTTTTGTTTTTAATTCCTCTTCGTCGTCGTCATCTTCGTCATCTTCGTCATCAATGAGAAAAGACATTTTCTTTCTTTCTTTCTTTCTTTCTTTCTTTCTTTCTTTCCACTTCTTTCGTCTTCTTTCTCCTAAATTGTATACTTAATGCTTCGATTTTTTCTTTTTCTTTGATTTCTTATGTTTTTTTTTGCTGTTGTTGTCTCTGTCGGAATCCGACGAATCCGACGAATTGCTCATGTGTTTTTTTGTCCTTTTCTGTTTTTTATTCTTTTTATTTTTCGATTTTTTCTTTTTGTGCTTTTTCGAACTTTCGTTAGAGCTTTCCGACGAGCTCCTCTGTCTCTTTTTACCCTCTCCGCTCCCGTTCGATTTCGATTCCTTATCTAAACTCGTTCGTCTTTTCACTCCGCTCTCCTAAAATTAAAAAAAATTTTTCTCTGCATTTTGACTTGCCAGACTTGACTTGTGTCAAAGGAAAACAAATCACGTGACATTTTCTTTCTTTCTTTCTTTCTTTCTCTTTCTTTTTCTTTCTATCTTTTTCTCATTCTTCTTCTTCTTTCTTTCTTTTTTAATTTTCTCATATTTCTTTCACTCTCACATTCATTCAATATCTTTCTCTTTCTCTCTCTTTGTTTCCTCATTCCTTAAATACGCTTTAATAAAACGTACAAATAGGAAAAATTATTCGTAGGAAAAGTTTTTTTTAGGAAAGGAAAATACGTTCGCCGTTCGGAAAATACCTCAAATAATAATGACACATAAGAGACATTATTTTATATGAAAATTAATTGGTCATCATCGGACGTATCCAAATCTTTTACCTGAAACAAAAAATGATTAAAAGAGAAAAGGGAAGAAAGAAAGGAGGCATCGTGAACCTGATGATATGGACGTGTGATGGTCACGATGATGATGATGATGATGATGATTAAGAAAGGTTCATAAAAATTTTTTTTGTTTCCCCCACCCACCGATCGTCGGATGGTTTTCTTTTTTTTAAGGTATCTCAACATGTACGAACCTCGTCCGAAGATTCGTCGTAATTAGGTACGAAATGTGCTTCGTCGATGGATGAACGTTTCGCGTCCATCGATTCTATCGTCGATGACAAATTAACCTTTTGATGTTGATGATGATGATGATGATGATCTTTTCTAACAACGGATCTCGAATCTTCTTCTTCCCTGCGTGCGCGTGCGTGCGTGAAGAAGAAAACGTATTAACGATTCGTAAAATAATAATAATAATAAGACGACGACGACTGGAAAGTAATTTTGTAATGATACTCACGCGTGACGATTTCGTTTGTCCCCGGTCCTGACGACGGTGTGCGGACTCGGGTGTCGAACCTGTTTTTCGATTTTCGATCCTAAACGTTCTTTGGCTGGTACTCTGCTCATCATCGGCGGTGATCTCGACGAATTTTCCCTACGTTGAGTAGTAGAAGTAGTGGTGGTGGTAGTAGTAGTAACGTTTTTCCCATCGTCTCCTTCGACTGTCAAATCAAAACGTTAATTTTTCTTCAAAAACAAAGTTAAAAAAAAAAAAAAAAAAAGAAACCGGAAATGGAAATGTCCTCTTACGTACCTACGAATTCTCTTTCCGCTGTTTCACCGTCGTGTGTCAACGGAATCGTTATTTGTAATGAATTTATGGTTTTTTTCACTTCCGATTTTGTTTTCGGCAACTGAAAATCACAAAAAAATTAATAATAATAATAATAATAATAAAAACAGGATAAATCACGTGATAATAATAATAATAATAATGATAATTACTTCTACGGCACTCCTGTGATATTTATCTTTTTCCCTCGATAAAAATATCCTTTTAGATTTCAAATCCGTTTCCTGTTCATTTTTCCCTCTTTCCTTTTCCGCTCCCACGATTATTTTTCTATCTTTCTTTTCGTCTTTATCTATTATAAAACACGTGGAACGAGAACAAAAAAAAATTAAAATAAAATAAAAAATTATGGGATTTTCTTTCTCATTTTCTTCACTAACCGAAATTTTTTTTCGAAGGTTCTCGAATGGCGTTAACGGCTTTTTTAAAAATTGCATTTTCCGCTCTTTTTATGACTTCCCGTGTTACTTTGGCCGGAAATTCCGGGGATTTCGTTTCTTGCGTGCTCGATTTAGACTGATTGTCTCCACCCTGATTATCATCCAATTCCCATTTGGATATTTCAGGTACGGAAGCAAGTATTCCCTTTTTATTATTATCACCGGATTCTTCTAGAAGGCCACCGTACTCGTGTAATTGCATTTCGACGTTGACATCTTCTAAACTTATTTCGTTTTCGTTTTCTAAAAATTTTATTTAAATTATTTGAAAATAATAATAATACTCGAGGGGGCGGGAGGCGGGGATTTTCTTTTTTTTTCACCTTCTAAACCCTCCGGAACGTTACTACTAATTTTTTTATTAATGTTATCGTAATTTTCCGACGTGGTTGTTGGTGCTGTTGTTATTGTTGTTGTTGTCGTTGTCGTTGCTGCTGCTGTTGTTGTTGTTGTTGATGCCGTGCTCGCTTCTTTCTGATTGGATGATTCGTTGGATTTTGTTGAGTGTCCTTCATTAGTCGCGCTCACGTTTTTACCAACGTCTGAAAAAATGAATAAAAACGACTTTCAACGATTTTTCCTTACACGTTTTAAACGCAAAAAAAAGGAATCCATTTCCGTTTACCGGTGTGATCGTTTCTATTAAAAATAAAATTTCTCGTCGTGGGATTAGATTTGACTTCGAGTTCTTCGGGTGGCAGAGCTTTAAAACTCGATACGAAATTATCGGGAACGCTCGCATTAACCGGAGTTTCCACAGGTTTCTGGAAACGAATGAAAAAAAAAAAATCAATTTTTTTTTTTTTTTTTTTTTAAATAATAAAACAATAAAAAATTTTTTTTTTTCTTTCTTTTACTTTTTCTTTCACGTTTTTATCCAGAATTTTTTTTTCCTCTTCCTGGTCTTTATCCTTCGAATCCGAAGTCAATTTCAATTCCTGCTTTCTTTTTTTCTCCTCTTTTTTTTCTTTCTTTTTCTTTTTTCTAGCCGCTCTCTCTTCTTCCGTTTCTTTTTCTTTTTTCTTCTTTTTCTTTTCCTTTTCCTTCTTCTTATCTTTTTTATCTTCTTCTTCCTTATCCCCTACCTGACATAGTCAAAAAAAAAAAAAAAGAAACACAAAACAATATTATTAGAAGCAACCGCGTCAAATTTTAAAAACTCCGCCATTTTTTTTTTCTTAAAGATTTTACCTTTGGGCTGTGCGAAGGTGTCGAACCTTTGACCTTTTCATCGTTTTGATTTTCTAACGCTTCATCTTTGGATTTTATGTTAAATTTATCTTTGTCGAAACTTTCCGAATTTTTTTTACTTTTCTCTCTCGAATCTTTACTCTCTCCGGATTCGTTACGATTTTCTTCTTTTCCCTTGCTCAAACTCCTACGACTGCTCGTCGACCTTTTCCTCACATCCACTTCGTTGACCTTTGACTTCTCATTAACCGGACTAATTTTTTTCCCATCTTTACTTTGACTCCTCCTCTCTTTTTCTTGTCTGACTTTTTCCTTACTCTTACTCCGACTTCTCTCGTGTCTTTTTTCATCTCTATCGTAGTCTTTGCTCCTACCCCTATCTTTACCGTATTTTTGTTTATCTTTCTCACCGTCGAAACTTCTGGTCGAATGAACAAAAAAAAAAAAAAAAAAATGTACGCATAAATAAAATCGTCCATCACGTTTTAACCGAAAAAAAAATTAAATTTCTAAAAATTTTGTTTAACCTGCTTCTGTGCCTTTTTTCCCTATCCCAGTCTTTTCTCCTCTCGGGAGTTTTTTCCTTATTCTTTTCGTTTCTATCCAAAGAACCTCCTCTTCTCGTCAAAGAGTATCTTCGTGACCTCGACCTCCTACTCCTACTTCTATGTCTGTATTCGTTATCTCTTTCCCTTTCTCTATCCCTATCCCTTTCCCTATCCCTCTCTCTATCCCTATCTCTATCCCTCTCTCTATCTCGTTGTCTATCTCTCTCTCTGTCGATATCGTAAGGATTTCTAAAAGAAAACAAAAACTTTATTTTTTTTTTTTTCAAAAATAAAATTTTCACGTTAGTTTTTAAAATAAATTTCACCTGATGAGAGAATTTGAATGAGACCTCCTTATATTTCTATCTCGAATATTTCCATCCGTTTCTCTGTCGTAACTTCCTCTGTAATCCCTTTCCCGCAAATCCCTTTTAACAAACAAACAAACAAACGAGAGTGTTATTTTTACATAAGGGGGAAATTACCAACAAACAAACAAACAAACAAACAAATCAAAATTTTTTTTTTTTTTTTTTTTTTACTTTGTATAATCGCTACATCTTGGCGAAAATCGTTGATCGTAGTAACGACTGGGTGATCTGTAGTGTCTCGGTGACGTTGACATGTAATTCTCATCCCGATATCTATGAAAAATATAACAAACGTATATCATAATTAAAAATTTTAATATAACAAATAAAATTAATTTTTTTTTTTAGCTTTTTGTTTGTTTTTCTTTTCTACCGGCAGGCTAACAAACGCCAGACGGCTAATTTGTCAAAACGGAAGTGCACATACTTAACGACAAAGAAAATTTTTTCTTCTTCTTCTTCTCCTTTCATATATATGATAAACATTACCTATTTGTTTGGTACGAAGTCATCGATTGTAAAACAAAATGAAAACTCTTTTTTTTTTTCTTTATCTAACGCATGTTTAACTTACGGTTTATTATATCCAATCAATCAATCAATCAATCAATCATTGCGTCCGCATCCCTAGTTCTACTACCTTTCTATATAAATTTCAACTTTTATATTTTAATTATTTTATTTCAAATGATAAATATTCGGGTTTTTTTGTTTTTGACAATTAGGAGAGGTACTTAAACTGAACTGAAATACCTGAAATGTGCCACATAATGACGAGCAATTATGATTTTCTTCTCAATATGATGATGATGATGATTATGTCTTCGTCAAATAATAAATTTTTTTTTTTTTTCTCCTTGAATTTGTTTGTTTCTTTCTTCTTCTTCTTCAAAACCACACATCTTCATTTTATCTCTATTTACATTTGCTATTTTTTTACAATTTACAATAAAAAAAAAGTACAACTTCATAATAATAATAATAAAAAATAAATAAATTAATTTTTTCTCACATGTACATCATCATAATTTTTTTCCGGTTATAACAGTAACAACAACAACCAAAAAAAATATGTAAAATTATCGATCGAATAATAATAATAGTAACAATAATAATAATAATAATAGTAATAATAGTAATAATAATAATAATATTTAAAAAATTTAAATTATTAACAAATTCACAACAAGAACAATAAAAAAACAACATCAACTTCAATATGTATGTGATTTCCAAGGTAAAAACCTCATTTCGAACGAATTTCATTAATAATAATAATAATAATGATAATGATAATAATAATAGTGTAACGACACTTTTCCGTTTAAAAAAAGAAAGAAAAACTTTTTTTCTTTTCTTCTCACGTTTTCTTTTTTTTCTTAAAATGTTTATTTATAAAAAAATTTTTTTTTTTTTTTTTGCACTCATAACCTTTTTATCATTACCACATTCGATACAAATAATAATAATAATAATAATAATAATATTTTACGACACACAAATTAATAATAATAATAATAATAATATGAATTACATTATTTGGATTACACACGTTCCAATTATAATTATAACATTAATAAAATTTGGCAAATTGGAATTTTCTTTTTTTTATGATTTTTTCCCCTCCCCCCTCTCACTTTTGTTTCCTCTTTTTCTATCCCTCCCTCTCTCTCTCTCCCCCTTAAATTAAATTTTTTTTAAACATTTCAAAGAGTTTAAATCAAATTTATATAAAAATAAAAAAAAATAAAAAAAATTCCAAATTTGCCAAAAGTTTTACATAATCATTTAAAAATAATAAAAATTATTATTATTATTATTATTATTATGTATAAAAATTCTAACTTATAATTAATTTACAAATTGTTAGGCGGCATCAAAACCAAACAAATTTGTTTTAAACATTATCATTAAAAAAAAAAAAAAAAAAAACACTCACTTTTTTTTTTTTTTTGCCATAAACATTTCTTATGACAATAACAATGATGATAATACAATATTTAATAAATAATAATAATAGTAGTTGAAAACAACAACAACAACGACAACAATAATAATAATAATAATAAATCACGAACGCGATTTAAACTCAACCGATTCCTATTCGAATTTTAACGGTTGATACGGTCGCGGGTACGAGCGAACAAAAAAATCTTTCCAACCAATAATAAATAAATGGAAAAAACAAGTACCTGTTATAAGATTGATGATGATGATCGTGTCCGCGGGGAGGTGAATTTTTATAAAATCGTCCTCTCCCCCCTCTTCCTCTGTACCTTCCACGACGATATTCCCTGTGATCCTGATTCCAGGGCTCGTAACCGGTATTTTCGTACCTCTCGCATCTATAAAAAAAAAACATCAGGTTTTTCTTCTCATTTCCTTCCCCTTCTTAATCTCCATAATAAAAAAAAAAATTGATATTTTTTTTTATTACCTTAATGGCGACCTATGCGGCGAATAATATTTCCTAGGTGAATAATTTCTTTCGTGTAAAGGAGACCTAGAATAAGATCTCGAACGAGATCGACTTATCACAAACGATCGAGATCTCGTACGAGATCTCTTTTTCGATCGCGAACGAGATCGCCGCGGTGGCGTTCTCGAACGTGTTCTAGATCTAAAAAAATTTGAACAAACGAATTATTTTAATTTGATTTGTACCGCGCTCTTCCCTTTAGATTCCAGATTTTTCTTTCAGAATTCGTACCTGGATCTGGCTCCCGAAAATGATCGTCTGGATCGTGCGGCTGATCGAGATCTCGATCGAGACGTAGATCTCCTAGATTTTAATTTTTCATTTTTACGTTTGTCCCGTTCCTCCTTTTCTTTCAACATTCTTTGAAAAGCTAAAAATGCTTCTTCCCTGCACAAGACATACACACAAATTAAATACATAAAAAATGATTTCGTGCAATTTCACCTGGATTTATTTTTTCCTTACTCGTTTCTCGGTGGACTAATAGGCCTGCTGCCCGGAGGTGGCGGTTGTCTCATCGTAAACCTTCCTCTATGCATCCTGGGACCTCTAGGCATTCCTCTGTAACCTCTATCGTATATCATGTTCGGATCGTACCTACAAAGAATTACAAGCGTTAATTTTAATTAATAAAAGGTTAATTCAAATAATAATAATGATTCGATTGTGTTTGATAATCACTTACGTCATCGGCGGAGGATGGACCATACCGAAATGTTGATCGTATCCCGGATTCATATAATTCATCGGCCTGTAAGGATCGTATGGAGGCCGAATGGGAGGAACTTCTAACCTTTCATCAACCGTAGGAGTACCCGATCTTTCTTCCACAGGCTCACTACAGGAAATAACAAATTAAAATTTATTAATTTTTTTTTATTCACATTTTCAAAAGTGTAAATAATAATTATTATTATTATTATTTGTAATTACCTGTGCATAAAACCATCGCTTGGGCGAGGAGGGGGATAAGGTTCGGAATTAGGAGGAGGAAGAATAACAGGATGTTGGCCTGAAAATAGAGAAGGAATAGCATAAGAGGGACCTTGGGAAGGATCAGGTAGTCCTTCATTTGGTCGACGATTTTCTACTAAAACAAAAAATTAGTCAAATTATTTATTTTTTTTTTTTTTTTTTTTTTAACATTAAAAAAATTTTTCCTTACAAATAAATCACAAAGTGTTAAAAAAGTAAAACATGACAACAAAGAAAAAAATTTATATAAACGTACCGAAAATTAAAATAAATAATAATAATAATAATAATAATAAAAAAGAACGTACCAGGCGGAGGAGGTTCTTCCGATGAATTACTCGACACCGAACTCACATCGTCAATGTCGATTCCAGCTTTTTTTAATTTTTCTATTTTGCTAACGTCTTTTTCCATTTGTCCGTGAGAATTTTCATGCTAATAATAAAAACAAACAAAATTTTTCATTAAAACAAATTTTCCATATTTTATTTAAAAAAAAAAAAATTGTTTTCCCTACTAACTTTAATTTTATTATTATTATCTAACATCGTGGCATCTAACGGAATTTGGGACTCCATTTTAACATCATCTTTACGCTCATCTATTTTGATGATCATGTTGTTAATATCCTCACGCAGAGGCTCTAAAAAAAAAAAAAAAAAACAAGGATTTCAAAAATGATTTAAACAGATTAAAGGATACAAAAGGAAACAACAATGTCGTCGGTACCTCTTCCATCCCAAATCTTATGTTGATGTTCGAAATTTGTATTGTTCCGTTGGTATCGGATGGGTTTTGCCGTGGGGAAACCAGAATTATTGTCTGGAATACGGGTGATTGAATTCAAATTCGGACGATTCATATTTTGATAATGATAAGGATTCGAACCGGGTCCAGAATGTCTGTAACCGTGATAAGAACCACGTCCGAAGTGATCCGGTCTTTGGTATCCGGTCGTTTGAGGACCTTTCTGATATTGATTTGAACTGTAAGGGGGAGGAGGATATTGAGTGTAACTGGGTGTCACCTCGGGCACCGCCTCCGGATGGGATGAATTCGAATTATCACCGTACGGAGATTTTTCTGAGTAAACGGGAGTGGTTTGATTTTGAAATGGAGAATGGTGTATTTGTAATGCAGAAGCAGGCGAGCTTTGATATACCGGACTTGGTTCTGCTTTGGCAGAAGCCTGTTGAGGAGTATCTTTTGTCGCCGTCGAATCTACATAGTCTGTAAACATTACAATTTTATTTTTAAGTATTTTAAAGACATTTCACGACCAGAACAAAAGTAAAATAATACGATGGCCAACGGAAATAAATTTATTAATTACCCGGTGGTGGAACGAAATCGGGAAGAGATGGCCTGGGAGGCGACGGAGGCCTCTGTTGAATCAATTGCGGTTTCGATTTAACATATCCAGTCTTATTTTTAAAAGTATTTACAGAATTACGAAGAAAACGATTTGGAATCATCGTGTCGGGCGAAACGTTTTTTTCATTACAATCCGGACACTCGGATTCATCAGAATCAACTAAAACGTTGCGAATGCCTGAAATAAAAAATTTCATAAACAACAACCGGAAAATTTTCCTTACATAATAGTAATAATAATAATGATTTAATTCCTTACATTCATCACAAAATGAAATACCACAGCAAGGAATCATTACGGCATCCTGTAATAAATCCTTACAAATCCCGCATATTAAATCTTCTGGAATTGTCGTCGCCGGAGCTGGTTTTTCTTTTTCAATTAAAAAAGGCGGCTTTTCTATTTTTTTTTCTTTGTACACCTCGCTGAAATGGATTAGTATTAGAGTTGAATTAATTACATATCGCAACGGGTTTAAAAAGGGGGAAAAAATTATTAAAAAAAAAGAAACCATACTGATCTATAGCTGGAACGGCATAAATCCCCGAGGGAGTCATTCTTGCTCCTGGTACCTGAGGACCTTCCACTTGTATCATAAAACTTCTCGGTATTCCTGTACTTTTTTTTATTGTGTCCGTCATACCCATATTTGAACTATCAATCTAAAATTGTTAATATCGACATCAAATTTTTTATTTTTATAATAATACAATATAAATTTACTCATTATCATTATTAAAACTTACAGAAGAGGGACAGTCTTTAATCCAATGACCATGCTGATGACATTTGAAACATATATATGAAGCAGGTACTGTTCCAACTTGATTTCCACCTCTAACTTTAACATAACTTAAAAAAACAAAAAAACAAAAAAGGTCAGAAACACAAAATGGAGGATAACATTTACATTAAAACATTATAAAAAAACATTAACATTATTAGAAAACATTAAAAAAAAAAACAAAACTTACTTAGATGGATCATAATCACTTGTCGATTGAGAAATCATCGTTTTGATTTTCTCTTCTTCCGACAAATCTAAACTTGATATATCGACTTGACCGAGACTGTTTTGTTCATTTGTGTCTCCAACTTTACTATTGGCAATTAATTTTTCTTTTTCCCATTGTTTTTTTTGTTGCTGAGTAAGTGGTACTCTTGCAATAATGAGAGATGCATTTTTAGGTATCAAAACATTCTCATCTGAATATGTTTCCTTTGTTTGAGCATTTGTTACTTGTAAATCAAAATCTGAAGTTTTGCCAATTTTTTTCTGTTGCAAGATTGCTTTTTTTAAATCTTTCACAGAGATATGTAATCCATCGAAAGTAACAGTGTCATATTCTAAAGCCGATTTGAATTTATAATGAACTGACATTTTACTGCGAACAAAAAAATATTTACAATAATAATAATATTAAATTTTTTGTTAGATGCATTTACATAACACTACATAAAATTTATTCTGTTCATTGGAAAAAGTATGTAATAAATAATTTTACAAGTAATAATTGGTAATTCTTTCAAAGTGCTAAATATAAAACAAACTTATTTGACCTTCGATTTAAAATAAATGTTTGTAGATTCCAACGAGAATGATTATTGACCATGAGTTAAATTTTAAATTTTAAAACAATGAGAGATAGGAAAGAAGAACAAATATGTAAAATTATTATATATAAAAAAAAAAAATGTTTTAATAAATATATTTATAACAGGAAGTTAAAAGAAATCAAAAATCCAGTCCAAGTCATAAAACCGAATGTCACATTTAAATTTATAAAAAAACTTGTAATAAATTTCTAATGGCTAATGTAAATCATATCAAAATTTATTGTTTAATAATTAATTTAATTGATGACAAAATAAAATTTAATATTTATTTATTTATATCAATTAAAATCAAAAACAAAATTTATAATTTACAAGAATATCTTTTAAATTTTTTTTATACACCTGTTTTACACACGCACACACACACAGAGTTTGATCCAAAATTTCTATTTTTAATAAATTTAAAGTTAAAAATCTGATTAATAAACTAAATTTATTAAATTAGAAAATTAAAATTGTATGTATATTTGAATTAAAAAAAAAAAAAAATTGTTTCGGTAAATGAGAAAAACTTTTGTTGTAAAAATTTAAATATTCGATAAAGTAATTACTCAAATAAACGCAAAAATATTTGTAGAGTATATTTATAAATAAATAAATTTAAATGTGATATTTATTTCTTTAAAAAAAAAATAAAATTAATATTTTAAAATTTAAAAAAATCAAAATATAAAGCATACCTGAGTTATAATTTTTACTTATTTAACATTCAAATTTTAAATAATAAATTTGTTTATTTATTTATTTACTGAATTTAAATGCATTTAACTGAACCAAAATCATTTAAACTGTAAGCAATCCATTTTAAAAAACTGAAATAATTATAACGAATCGATATTTGTTAAAATAAAAATTACACAATCAACAAAACACATCTTTAATTCTCATTACCCAAAGCTTTCCCATTCTCACAGCCTTGTCGAAATAAAAAACAGTTTTCATTTCTTAATCATTACTCTCGTCGCCAACTTAAAAATAAATTTCGTCTGCTACATAATATTTACTTTTTGAAACATAGGAAATAATACATGTAATTACTTACCAATGACTTGTTTACCGTATATTTTTTGTAAATGTTTTCGAGCCGCAACAAAATCCAGATTTCAATTAATTAACGAATCTCATAATTACATTTTTAAATGTAAGTTAAATTATAAGAAAAATATAATTAGACACAGTAGCAATTCACAAGATTTATCCGATCTTTACGATAATGAATCAATGAAAAAATACATAAGTTTTATTGAAAGCGATCATGTAAATTTTTCGGATAATTTTTTAGAAAAAAAATATATAGAAGAAATAAGACATTCAATAGATAAAAAAAAAGAAATAGAATGTGAAATTTTAGCCTTGAACACTGTTAATTCGGAAGGTGATAAAGAAATGGAAAAATTAATAGAATGTGAAAAAAATAATTTTTATAATAAAATAAAAATAATTAAAAATGAAATAATAGAAAAAATTTTACCACATAATTTCGATGGAGGAGAAGAAAGTCAAATTGAAATTCATATATTCCCAGCTGTGGGTGGAGAAGAAGCAAAATATTTTGCCGAAGAACTCTTTAATATGTATGTTAATTATATTATTTATAAAAATTGGAATTGCATTCGTGCTGAAATTAAACAGGATACAAAAGTTGGTCACCTAACATTACAGGGAAATACAATTTACAATTCATTAATATGTGAGGCAGGAGTACACAGAGTGCAAAGAGTTCCAGAGACTGAAAAATTTGGTAGGACGCATACTAGTACATGCAGTTTAAACATTTTTCAAAAATCGTTAAACAATGAAATAATTATCAATCCCAAAGATATAATAATTGAAACATTAAGATCAGGTGGACCTGGTGGTCAAAATGTAAATAAAGTTGAAACCAGAGTGAGAATAAAACACATTCCCACAGGTAAGTTTTTTTTTTTAAAAAAAAAAAAAAAAACAAAATTTCTCATTTTAAATTATCATTCTCACATACATCACATTTTATTATCGAAACAGGTTTGATAATCGAATCGCAAGAATCGAGATATCAATATGAGAATAAAATAAAAGCTTTTAAAAAATTACAATCGACATTGTTGAACATGTACGAGGATAAAATAAACAGTAGTAAAAAAGCAACTCTCAAAGATCAAACTGGTAACAATGATTATTCTGATAAAATAAGAACATATAATTTCAATCAGAATAGAATAACTGATCACAGAATAAATTATTCCCTTTACAACATGGATGCTTTTTTATCAGGTGGAAAAGAATTGGATGACATGATTGAAAGAGTCAAACAGTATAAAAATAGAGAAAACATACTTAAATACGTTGAACAAATATTGAATTCGGATGAATATAAAAAATATAATCAAAATATGATTAAAAAAGAAAAAGTAAAATAATAATAATAATAATTAATTTATAGGAGAATAAAGAAAGAATTCGTTATAGTGTATATTTTTGTACACACACACGCCATGTTCGACGGAGAACATGACGTCATAATAAAAGATTTTAACTAAATAAAATTCGATTGTAATTATAATAATAAAAATGTTTTATATTATGTTATAATTATATATATATATATATATATATATATATATATATTATATAAAAAAATTTTTTCCTTTACAATCGCGACCTTTGACCCCGTTACAATTATCATCATCATCATCATCATCACACGATAAAAATTATATATATATATATATTTATCTATCTACGATTTGTAAAAATGACTAACGTATAAAACGAATCGATAATAATCACCGTTTATTATTATTATAAATATAATAATATAAAAAATTTTAATTTCCTTTTCCGGTTTTTTGTTCGATATCTCATTAAAAAAAAAAAAAAAAAAATTGAATTGCGAGATTATAAAAATTAAATTAATCGATAATTTTTTTTTTTGCGACATTTAATAATAATTCAAGCTATTTTTTACGACACTTAATATAATACAAAATTATTATTATTATTATTATTATCATCTCTGATTTTTTTTATTCAGGTATTGTGCTGGGAATCGGAATCCCCGCCGCTTGACGCCATTGAAAAATTTGCCGAATCTCTATTGTGCATGTTAGGAAGTCTCGGAATTCCCGTGTATTGAAGTTTTTTACCGTAGGGAGATGGAAATAATCTCACTCCGTTGTGATGTATGGGTATGGTAGTGTGAGGCCTCGGAAAATTCATCATGGGTTGTACGGGTATTACGGGTGGAGCCGGAGGACAGGGTAAAGGCATTGTATTGCACGGATAAATCACAGGTGGAGGAGGTACTTGGGTGGGAAAATGAGGAAGTGTCGCCGAACCTCCTTCGTCCGTTACGAATGACGTCATTCTCATGTTCGTCGATCTTCCGAAAGGTTCTTCTTTCAATTCCGGTGGCCTCGATAAATCTGCCGTTAAAGGTCTCGTGTTTTTCCTACGTATAACGACCGTGTCTTCTGGATTTTCTAATATCACGGCTGGTACGACACTTGATGTGACCGACGGCGGTTGAACGACCTGTTTATCGTCATTATTAATAAACGAATTCAATTTTTTTATAAACCTTCCATATTGTTTTACCTGTTCCGTCGGATTCGGACCGAAATTGTACATGGCTTGAGAACCAGGAGCGTTCGGTGGTAATATGTTTCTTTGCAATGAACAACTTTTCCATTGGACTTGTCTGGGTTCTTGATGTGCCGTCAAATCGTCCACGCTCGTCGCCCTTCTCGAACTTGCGTTCGAATGTACGCCGCTCGATGATTCGCTATTTTGAACGCCCGGAGGTGATCCGCCAGACCCTGATTGTGATCCCGACGATACCGAACTCGAACGAGGTGTCAGTTCTTCGTGTGGCATACCCGAATCCGCTCGTCTTAAACATTTAGGAGTAATACTGGCAGTCTAAAAACAAAACGAAATCTTTTATTAAAAACTCAATCAATCAATCAATCAAATCTACTTTTAAAAAAAATTATATGTACCTTATCGATTAAATTATTATTATTACTATTATTGTTAATGTTAATGTTATTAATATTGTTATTGTTATTATTATTATTATGTACAGTTATGGTTGCCGATTGATTAAGATCCGGTGGTGGTGGTGGGGGCAGAGGTAATTCGTTAGGCTCAGGCGTTAACAACGGGCTGGGATCTTCGTAATCCGGTTGCAATTCTCTACTCCTTGCAAATGTCACGTTATCATCTCGAAGTACGTGTTCCAGCAACTGCTCAATTAAGTTTTCACGTTAAATTTTAGTACAATGACCCATTATTATTATTATTATTATTGCATTTCCGCGAACTTTGACACGTTTTATCCAGGCATGCGCGTTAGAATTTTTATGGTACGTCAGAACCTTTATTACGAACCTTGTTATCCTCCGAAATGTTATCATCCGCCCTTATTTTCATATTCGATGGACCGACTCTCAATGTTGCATAATCGCCATCGTCTTCGCATATGATTCCACCGTTCGTATTATCCAATCGATTTTTCATCCTATCTTTGCAATCCCCCAAAGATCCCCTAAAAAAAAAAAACATTATTATTATTATTATTTCTGAGAAACGAATAGTTTCGTTATAATAATAATAATAATTATGTTCAACCTCATGATCGTGTCGTCGAATGTAACTTTATGCTTTTGACTAGAATTTAATTTTTTACTGAACCAATTCATTCTATCAGAATCTGATGGAGAACATCTTGGAGAACGAGGTTTCGGTCTCAACCAATAAATTTCAGTATCGTCATCTCCGCCATCTTGATTTCCTACACGGAGACACATTAATAAAAAAATGAAATCGTTTTTATTAAAAAAAAAAAACAAAAATCCTCGCGTTAAATTCATCATTTGAACTAACCTTGAGCGTTCAATTTAGCTTTTCTTTCGATGGCGGATTTTTTAATGGCGTTTATGATTGTTTTCTTAGGTGATGATTCGGAAACGGTAAACGTTCTCCCACCCCCGACGACCAACAATGGTGACGTAATTTCATCCCCAGGATTTGTCGACGATATCAAATCCACATCCGTTACGAGTTTAACGGATCTCGCCGAACGTACGGCTGCTCTTCCCACAGTGACTCTCAATTGGAAAATCCAATTTTGTTTAATTGTCAATATTAACCACGTTAATACCTGCGGAAACGGAAACGTTCATGTTTTAACGGCGTCGCCACGAAAATGTTGCGGGTATGTAATTTATCATCATGTGCTTACCCATAGGAAAAGATGCAATATGGCGGCTATAACGCATGCTAATATCGTACCGTCCAAACTGCTCCTGTACACGACCGTGTAATCGTGAAGTAGGGGGGCATGACAAACCCCTAAAGCAATTAAAACTGACAAAGCTGCACAATGAGTGAAATAACCCCAACCGCTACTTTTCCTTTCTCTAAAAACTATAACCTTTCTCTCTCTTTCCGTATTTAAAAATGCGTTGAACCTGAAATTCGTTAATTAAATTTCAAAAAACCAGAGAAGAAGAGAAGTAATATTATTATTATTATTATTATTATTATTATTACCTTCCGTAACCGTATAAGTATAAGACGAGACTGGATGAAAGGACCAAAAGTGATGAGAGAGTGAATAAACCGAGAGTGAAATAACCGTCTAGAAGAAATGGCGACTCTGTTGTTTTTTTCAAAAATGGCAACGTTTCGTGTATTCCGACCATCTTGAAATTAATAATAATGATTTTTAATATAGAGAAATCCGTCGGCTACGCTATAGAAAAAAAACTTACTTGTATTTTATAAAGAATGGACATTCCGGAAAATGATAAAAGATTTTGTAACATGTTTCCAATGAGTTGAAATGAGAAAAGAGTACCGAACCATTTGTTCGTGTTCCAGAACACGGATGGATAACGAACGGCATATACTAAAAGTGCTAAACCGTAATTTATAAATTCCAATGAAATCGTTCCTAAAACTAAAAAACAAATAATAAACGTTATCATCATCATCATCATCATCATAATTATTGTCATCGTCGTCGTCGTCGTCGTCGTCATTACAAAAGCTAAAAAAACAATTGACAATAATATATTTAAAAATTATTATTGTGTTATTAGTAATTTATGACGTCAGAGCGTCGTGTCAGAAGATATTAAAATCGTCTGCTAAAATCAACCACGTTTTGTTTTGAATAATCCTGAGTTAAATTAAGTGTGATAAGTTAAGTGGGTTTAAGTAGTATAAGTAGGCGGTGGCGGTGATGTAAAAAAAAAAAAAAAAAATTTTTTTTTTTTTTTTTTTAAATTAAGTTAGCGGTTGGAGGAGGAAAAGAAGAAGAAGGGGGGGGGAAACTTTACAAAAAAAAAAAATTCACGACAACATTTTTTAACATGCCAAAACATGGATTAATAAAAACTCCCGGTCTGGTATTATTTATACGACATAACGAACGACGAGGGCATTTTGAAAGGAAAAAAAAAAAAAAAAAAGTAGAAAAGGGAAACTTTTCCTTGAATAATTCAACTTGAAGCACATCCATTATTAATAAGTTAAAGGCCGGGAAAGAGAACGGGAAGGGTGGTGGTGGTGGTGGAAAAAATAATAAAGTTGGTAGACGTGGCGAAGGAAGAAAAAGGAGAGGGGAAAGAAAAAACGATAAGAGACCCGAATAGTACTGTATTTCTTGCTATTCTGATTTTCAAGACATTTTTTTTTTCATTCCTTTTTTTACTTCCTTCATTTTTTTTTTTTTTTACTATGTTAAAATAAAAGAAAAAGAGTGTGAGAATTGTAGGGTAGAAAAGAAGATGAGTGGAAGGAGAGAAGGGGGAAGTGGGGAATAAAATAAAATGCAAAGAAAAGCAGTAGCAGCAGTAAAAACCATTTGAGAAAATATGACGAAGAAGAGGAGGGGAAAAAAATTATTTTAATTTTTTTTTTTTGTTTGTTTGTTTGTTGGTGGAAAACAAAAAAAAAACTGGGGGAAATGACGTCAACAACCACAAAAAAAAATTCAAGTTGGACAAAAGATTCGAAAAAGCGGGAAAAAAAACAAACACAAACACACGCACACGCACAAACAAACTTTATTTATTATAACGATCACGTGTTATTTTTTTCCCCCCTTTTGTGAATTATTATTATTATTTAAATTGACACAATGGCGGTTTACGTTTCGAAAAGTGTAAATAATTTTTAAAAAATTATTCATTACCTATGCGTAAATGATTTGATATAAATTCCCCTTCCCGCGACGAAAGTAACGAACGAATGTAATTTAGTACGCGTTTCATAGAGTAAATAAATAAAACAAATTCAAAAAATTAATGATAGAGCGCGCACTTGTCGCACTTGTCGCGCTTTCACAAATTTAAAAAATAATAAAACGCGAATAACGAGCGGTGCCAAAAAGTTTTAATGATAACCGTTATCATTTAAATCGAACACGTTTCCGTATAGATTTAAATTTTTTTTTACGTTAAAGAAAAAGAAAATCTCGGGAAAAATTTCAATCTGTAATAATATTTAAAAAAATTTTGATAAAATAAAATAAAAATTATACGAAATTAATCACGTAATAATAATAATAATAATAATAATAATAAATCCGTTAAACGATATTAAAATTTAACATACACACGAAATGATCTAAAAGTTAATAAAATCAAATTAAACAGACCAAAAATTTGAAAAATAAACAAATAACGAGGGTAAAATAAAGAGAGAGATAGAGAGAGAGAGAGAAAACCGTTTAGGTTCAATAGTGCGTCAAATGATAAGTACTTATAATCCAGTAAAAGATTTATTTTTCTAACAAAAACCGTTGAACCGTTTTTAAAGCTCAAAAAAAAAAAAAAACTAAAATTCTGGTTAAATCTCTAAAGAAAACTTACCGGTATTATCTCCGAAAGATGAAACGATCATATCTTTCAAATCTTTGTTGATTGATGGAGAATTTAAATCATCGGTATCATCGATCGAATTCATTTGTAACGGACGAGCCGTCGGTAAATAAGTTGAGTTTGGTAAAGAAGGCGGTGGAGTCATAAAACTCAATACAACGAGACGATCTCTATGAGCACCCATAAAATCTAAATCCGTTTTCCATATGAAATCTGAATGTTAAAAAAAAATTATTTTCTTCTCATTTTCATCAATTTTCTTAAAATATTTTTCTTTAAGGGTGGGTCATCATCCGATTTTATCGTCTTGTTCTCCTCCTTCTTTAAATATTCTCCTCGTTATTATTAAGTTATTAATAATAATAATAATAAAAACGAAAAGGTTTGCGACGGATTTATTATAAAATCCGACTTATAAATAAATAAATAAAAATTCATTTTATACGTATTAACGACATTTTTCCCCGTCCCAATCTCCATTTTTTTTTTTTTAAACGTCCGACAAATATACCTTTGTTGTGATAATATTTTAAAACGCAATTAAAATCGTAATAAAACGATACAAAGGCAAAACAAAGAGATGCAATGAAAGAGAGAGAGAGAGAGAGAGAGAGAGAGAAAGGGAGAGAAAGAGAGGAGAGAGAGAGTGAGAGAGTTTCGGTAAAACATCTGTTTAATAAAACTAATATGGCGTTCGGAATACGTGTGTGCGTTTAATAATTGCCATGTAAAACGATATCGTTTTTTAACAACAAAATTTGTCGTCCATCAAACGTGACGACGACGACGACTCGATCGAATGAAAAAATTATTGAAAATGAAAAATTATTTTGTTCAAACTACCGCAAAAAAATATATCCGCCATTTTTAAATTATATAATTTACACTTCATTTCACATATTCCGCATCATTGACACGCACACACACTCATGACGCTCCGCAAGTACACGGAACTAACTTAATTTATTTTCGAATGAGTAATAATAATAATAATAATAATTGTTTGTTGTTTGTCGTTTATTATTATTATTATTTAATTTTAAACGTTTTGTTAAATTCAAACAAGTGTTTTTATACACACGTCGAAAGTTTTTATAACGAATTAAATAAATAATTAATGATAGAAGGGGGTGATCCGATGTAAACATGAGATCGAGTCCGCCATATTGTTTTTTTTTTAGGTAATTATTTATTGTACGTCACGTGGGAGTCTTTTTGTTAAAATCTTCTTATGCAACCGTCATTATTTGTTTACACTTTTCGTCGTCGTTGTCGTCATTTCCACCATTTTGAATAAAATAATAATGATAATGATTCGGTAATAAAAAAAAAAAGAAATTTATCACACCCGTCGTTTAAAAAACATTTTTTTTTCTTTTTTGTTTTAATTCGAATAAAAGACAATCAAATATTTATTTGAAGGAAACGAAAAAAGGAAAAAAAGGAAGAAAAAGGAAAGAAAAAAAAGGAAAATTAAATTAAAAAGGAACGAGAGAGAGAAAAAAAAATTTTATCTGCTGTTGTTGTTGTTTGAGCACAAAATTGAAGCCTTTTTTTTTTTTTTTTTTTTAAATGCGAAAGAAAATCGTTTGTTTGTTTGTTCGTTCGTTTGTACGTTCGATTGTTTGTTCTATCTTTACTACTTCCTTCCTACTTTTTTCCTTAGTCATTCCATCTCACTCACTCTTTCTATTTTGAAAAACAAAATGGAGAGAAGGAAAAAAAAGGGGGGGGGGGCTTCAATCATAAGAAAAGGTTTGCGGTGTATTTCAACACAGATGCTGATGCCATTTCAATTTTGCCAACGTCAACGAATAAAAAAAAAAAAGAAAAAAGAAAAAGAAAATTGAAAAAATTGTTTTGTTTTTCCCATACATATAAAATTTAAACCAGAATTTTTTTATTTATTTTTTTTTTGCGTACACAAATACAAATAATAATAAATAAAATCGATATACGATATGAATCGATAGATCGATCGATCGATCGATAACAATAATAATAATAATTATATCAATCGAAAAGGAAAAATTGAAATAAATAAAAAACGTGATAAGAATTCAATTTTCAATGTTAAACAGAAACGGAGGAAGAAGGTTTTTTTGTAAAATAACGACGACGTGTAACTAGAATCAATCCCCTTACGGGCTAAAAATTCAATACGGTAAAAAAAAAGTAGTAATAATAATAATAATAATAATAATCTGAGATTTAATCAAATCTCCATTTTCCCACACGAATACGAAAATTTTTTTTAAAAAAAAAAAAAAAAAAAAAAAAAAAGGGGAGTTGAATGAGGGGCGAAAAAGGGAAGAAGGTTCTTCAGAAGGTTAGGCTCGGGAGGGGGAGGGGCGAGAGGGGCGAAAAAAAGAAAAGAAAACAAGAAATTTTGCAATTCATCGAAATAATTCCATTAAAAGTTATGAAAAAAAAAAAAAATTATATTAAATCAATGAAAAATTTTGTGAATGCGTTTGACGTATTGTATTTTTCCTATTTGATTTATTTATTGTTAGAAATAAGAAAAAAAAAATTTTTTTTTCTTCTGCTGTGAAATCTAAGATTTTTTATTTTCAAACATTAAAATAAATAAAAACCTTTCGTGATTGAATTTTCACACTTGTTGTTGTTGTGAAAAAGAAAAAAAAATTAAAATTGATGACGTGGTTCCAGATAAAATGGAATAATTTCCCTTCCCCTTCCCTCTCCTTCTATCGCGTTATTTTATTTACCCTCACCTGAATTTTATTTTTTTTTCATTTAATCGTACCCGACATTTTTTTATTTAAAAAAAAAAAAAAACAAAACACGGATCCGTCATATTGAAACCCTTCCCCTCCCCACCCCGAAATATGATTAATGATTTCTGCCACGTCGATTTTCTTGGACGCGATCGAAACCCGATGCGTAATACGTAATTGATGCGTTCTTCCGTAAGATCGGCCATTTTCTTTTTTTTTTCCACAGAGTAAAAAAATTTTCCTCTATTTTAACCGATTCTATCACTACCCCGCCGCCACACGCCACATTTTCGAATTAAATTTTTTTTTAATTTTTATTTTCTCTATGACTTTTTTCGATGATTAAAATCTCTAAAATCATTATCGTTCGATAAAAAAATGTCCTGCGAAATTTTCAACCGACAAATTTTATCAAATAATTTGGTAGAAAAAAAAAGAGAGAGAGGGAGAGATAAAGAGACAGAGAAAGAGAGAGAGAGAAAAATCGTCAACTGGGGAATTACACACCCTTGGGAAATATTTTTACTTCCGTTTTTTATCCTTTTTAACTCCTCCTCTCCCGCCTCCTTCTCCCTCCCCCAGAAAAAAAACTAATAATGGAGGATTTAAAACCCGATTTCCGTTTCAACAATGACATAATAATAATAATGATAATAATAACAATACAGAAGAAAATATATATATATAAAATTTTGAGAAATCGTTTTTCCGACTGTCACGTGAAGATAAAAGTCAAAATGAAAGAAAAAAAACGTTTTAAACCGTAAAATAGACTCGACAGCTAAACAAACACTAGCAGTAGTAATAGTAATAGAAATAATAATAATAATAATAATAATAATAATAATAATAATAATAATAATAATAATAATAATAATAATAACGACGACGAAGGCAAGAATTTTAAAGACAATAATAATAATAATAATAATGATGATTTTTGAACGCGTTTTATTAACTTTACAACCGACATAATGTGAAAATTTTCATTTAATGCTTTCCATTTATTTATTTATATATATATATAAGTATAAACAAACAAACGAACAAACAAACAAACAAATAAACGAACAAACAATTCCTTTTTGTATGTTTAAAGTTGAAAATTTATCATTTGATTTATTCTCATTTTGGGAAAACAAATTAATAATGTTTTAAAAAACGATTTCTGCCAAATTTACGCAACGAAAAGTTATTATCATTATCATTATTATTATCATTATTATCATCATTATCATTATTATTATCACCATTATCATTATTATTATTATTACCCCCATTATTATTATTATTTTTCCCTTAATAATAAATTATTTGACGCGGTCAAATTTGTTTCCTTGTAAATTTAATAAACATTTAAATTTCGTTACTTAAAAAAAAAATGGGGAGAAGGGGGGAACAATGCTACAAACTTTTGAAAAAAAAAAAATGGTGGAAATGGTATTTCACAACGATAATAATAATAACATTACAACAAACGTAATATAACGAAAATAATTTTTATAGATATTATAATATTTATCGAACATATTAAAACCATAGTCGATAAGAAAATAATAATAATGATAATAAAAAAATTCCGATTGGAATTTTCGAAAAATTTCTAGAAAAAAGGAAAAAATTCCATCGAACGTATTTTTATTCGGGTTTAATAAAAAAAAAAGAGAGAGAGAGAGGAAAAAAAATATTATTATTATTATGATTACCTTTTGGAAGAAACCCTGAGTGTATTAATCGAGCTTCCATTATTAATTTTGCCATTAGAAGACAAAAACCGGAAGTCAAGTGTAAAAACGGCGCTGTCGGTCCTCCGTGTTGCCAAAGACTACGAAAAACTCCCTGATTATCACTCGAACCTTTTAACAAAAAAAAAAAAATTTTTGAGTCACTCATCGTCTGCTACGACAAACAATAAAAAAAAAAAAGCGGAAATACACAAGCGGCCATTTTGAAAAGCTAAGCGACACACGCGTGAGTATGTGAAACATTTGTTTTTTTTTTTAATAAATTACCCAAAGGATTTGTCTTCTGTAAAATCACATCATATCGAATTTAATAAAATAATCGATTGATCGATCGATCGATAGGTAATGATAATAATGATGATAAAAACTCACCTAAAAGAACGCTGGGCGGATCCGCCGTGCAAGTGCTTAAATTTCTACCCAATTTAAAACCGTCGTTGGCTAAATTTCCTATTTTAAATATGGCGGAAATTAAAAAAAATGGCAAAACAACGACGGAAACGCACATAAAAGCTAAATAAGCGTTCGATTCTAATCGTGGCGGAGGTTGAACGGTCCAAGGCAACGAGGAATAGCCTAAAAACCTTTTGGCACATTGTGCTGCCAAATAAGCTTGAAAGGTTGTCAAGACAAGGCCGTACCAAACTGACCAAAGGCAATTCACGTGTGGTTTCATACAGGTATTTTTACGTAACGATTTCCTTCTTCCTCTATTATTATTATTATTGATGTAATTTTTTCCAGTCGGCGTGATGGTTACTTTCGGTTTTATCTTTCCACGATTCCCACTACTGTTACTACTACCACCATCGTTATGATTTTCATAAGAAATTAAACTTCCGGTCATCGACATTTTAATTATCTGAAAGAAGAAGGAAAAAAAGCGATTTTAATTAATTAAATTAAAAAATTTTCATTCAACTTTAAAACAAACAAACAGACGAACAAACAAACGAACAAACGGAAAATATTGTATTTCTCATTTCTCATTCGTTTCCGCCCCTTCCCCCTCCCACCTCCTCCCTACTTTCCCCTTTTGAATGTCACCCTTTTCATCCTTTCTCCTTTTTGATTTCATCTCCTCAACATTTTACGGGGGGGGGGGGAAAGGAATAAAATAAATAAATTTTTCCGATTGGTTAAAAATATATAAACAAAAAAATTATTCAAAATGGCTACGCGCTCCTTCATTCATTTATTTATTTATTTATTTATTTATTATTTATTTACTTTTTTTTTTTTGCTCCAGTCAAAAAAAAATATTAATAAAAAATTCCTACAACGTTTTATTATTATTATTAATTCGGTGGTGTTTTTCCAGGAAAAAAAAAAAGAAAACAAGGTACTTTATATTCCTACGAAACGAAACGGGAGGGAAAAAAAATGGCGTCGTTTTAAGCGTCGTCTTTTGTTTTGTTTTTGTTTTTTTGCGACAAAATTCAAATAGTGCGGGGAAATTTTTTTTCTGTTTGTCGACATTTTATTATTCTATGAATACGAGAATAACTTAAGACCGTTAAGAAAAAAAAAAAAATTTTTTTAATTCATTCGAACAATTAAAAATTTTGTTGACGTAATAATAATTACACGTTTAAATCATTCAATGCATTTTTTTTTTTTTTAATTTTCTCACTTGAACACGAAGCCATCTTGTTTTTAAAAGAAAAATTTATTCATGGAATTTTTAATTTTTTTAATTTTTTTTTTTTTAAATAATTTTTACTTAATGACACTTTTAAAAACGAAAAAAAAAAAAAAATTTTTTTTGCTCGAGTTTGCATTTTTCCTTTTTTTCCTTTAAAAAAAAAAAAAAAAAAAAAACAGCAAAATTTAAATAAGAAAAAAAAAAAAATTTTTTTAAACTTACCTCAAATCGAAATTAAATTTTTCATTTTTCGATATTATTATTATTATCATTCTCCGTGACATTTTCTAACCGGAAACAGTACCTGAAACAAAAAGAAAAGCAAAAAAAAAATTAACGAATGAAAATAAATATAATTTTTTTTTCTCTCAAAATTTTTAACACGAAAACGTTAAAAATTCGTAATAATAATAATAATGATGATGATGATGATGATAATGATGTAATTTTTCGCGTAATTAATAATTTTTTCGAGGGGAGGAAGAGGAGGGGGAAGAAAAGGGAAGGGAGAGTGGAATCGTACGTAACGTATTAATAAAATATGACGATATATAAATTTTCTTTTCTTTTCTTTTTGTTTTATTTTAATTATAACTTTAAATAATTTTTAATTTTTTTTTTTATTTTCTTCTAGAAAATTCCAAAGACTTAAATAAAACAGGAAGTAAAAGTTGGAAAAAATTAACGACCATTTTGTTTGTATATATATTTCGCATTTAAAAAAAATTCCATCAGGTAGAAATATTCTTTACACGCGACCAAAAAAAAGGGAGGAGGAGGAGGGTTCTTTAGTTATTTATTGATCTAAAATTAATAAATATCGATATTTTATTATCATTATCATTATTATTATTATTATTATTATTATTATTATTATTATTATTTAACCTAACGCGTAGCGTGTTTTCAAAAAAAAAAAAAGAAAATATCTGTAATGCCTTTTTTTTTAAGGGAAAAATTCATAATTTATGAATAACCAAAAAGGAAAAAAAAAAAGGATCGAATTATTTTAAAATATTTTAAGGCCCTTGCCCTTACCCCCTCCTCCTCCTCCCCTCTCTCCCCCCACAAAAAAAATTACATCGATATACATTTAAATAAAAAATTCAAAACGTAATTTAGTATTCGCGCCTTTTTTTTTCTCGTTGCTATCTTTTCTCTATTTCCACGATTCGTACGTAACCTTTTTTTAATAAAATGCAAATGGTAATTTTTTTCCACGTTTTATTTTCAGGGCCACGTCATTATTTTCCATCTCTCTCTTTCTCTCTCTTTTTCTATTTCATTTTTTTTTTTAAATTAAAAAAAAAAATTTAATTAAATTTACGCCGCGTTGATCAAATTCTTAATTCGATATTAGTAAGAGAGAGAGAGAGAGAGAAAGAAAGAAGGAAAAAAAATTTCCATTTCTTTTTTATTCGCACCATCAAAGGAAAAAAGGAAAAAAAGGTAAAAACTAATTTTGTGTAAAAGGAAAAAAAGTGAAAAAAATTTTTTTTTTTTTTTTTTTTTTTAAACGAAAACAATGAGAAAAACATTGACCGAATGAGAGAATAAAAAGGTTTTTTCTCAAAAGGAAACCTTTTAAGATTTTCCCCCAGTACCTTTTAACCTTTTAACCTTTTTTATACTTTCCAAAACTTAATTTTAAATAATAATTTAAAAGTTTCTTTAAAATAAAACAATGACAAACACGGACAAACACGTGTTAAACTCATATTATTATTATTATCAACTTGAAGCGTAAGTAAAATTTTTAAATGTAAAAATACCTGCTGACAAATCAACGCCGCCATCTTTTTTTTTATTTAATTTAATTTAATTCGATATCACGTGACGGATTGAAAAAAAAAAATAAAAATGGCGGCGACAAATTAACAAAAAAAAAAAAAAAACGATAAAAAAGTAAATATTAATAAATAATAAATTACGCTGGGAAAACAAATATTAAATTCGATAAAATTTAAAAACCGAGGAAACAAGGCAACAACGCGTGATTTACAATAATGATAATAATGATGATGATGATGATGATGATGATGATGATGATGATGATGATGATGATGATGATAATAATAATAATAATAATAATAATAATATTGAGACGGTGAAAAAAAAATCATTCGAATCAAAAAAAAAGGTTTTTTTTGGAAAAATTCGCTTCCCCTTTCTCCCTCCCCTCCGTTAAATTCAGCGAAAAGAAACCGGAAATAATTTTTGGCGCGAAAAAACAAAAATTTTAAACTTTATAAACGTGTAATTAAATAGTCGTAAAAAGAAAACTCTAAAAAGAAGGAGTTGATGGAAAATAAATTCAAAGTCATGTGAAGTCAATAAAAAAAACTGTAACGATAAAGAAAGACAGAGAGAGAGAAGTAGAAGAAGATGAGTTAAAAGAAGAAGAAAAAAATGAAGAAGAAGATGAAGAAAAAGAAAAAGAAGAAGATGAAGAAAAAAAATTTACAAGTTTCCGTTTTACTAACAAAAAAAAAATTTATTCACTTTAAAAAGTTTTTGTAATCGAACGACATTTTATTTATTTTTTAATAAAAAATAAAAATTTTAGTGACGCATTCATTTATTACGTAATCAAATACGTCATCATCACTTTCTCTATTTGTTTTGTTTTTGTTTAAAAAAAAAAAAAAAAATCACACGATAATTTTATTATTAAGTAAACAAATCACGAAAAATTATTATTTTATTTATGACGTGTATGGTTTATTACGTCATCGAAAACGTCACTTCCTTAAAAATGAAAAAGAAAGAGAGAGAGAAAGAGTTAAAGAAAGAGATAGAGGGAAAATCAAATAAATAATTGAGCGAGTGAGAGAGAAAGAGAGGGAGGGAAAGAGAAAGAGAGAGAAAGTGAATAAGTGACTCATGCTAGGTTTGAACGATTTTGAGGGGATGAGAAAAGACAGACGTGAGGAAGAAGAAGAAAATTGTGATAAGAAAAGAGGAGAGGGGAGAAAAAAAGAGAGAGAGAGAACGAGGTGAGTCAAGTAGGAAAATTTTATCAGGGCCCGTAAAAAAAAAAAAAAAATTAATTTTTTTTTTGTAAAAGAAAAAAAAACGGAAAAGTCCTGAAAAATTAATAGTTTTAATAAACGAATCCCCCTCCTCCTCCATCATCATCATCATCGTTATAATCACTATTATTATTATTATTATCATCATCATCATCATCATCATCATCATCATCATCATCATCATCATCATCATCATAATCATTATTATTATTATTACTTTTTTTTAAATATTGAAAATAAATAATAAGTAAATGGATTTTTATTTCGGAATTAAATTTTTTTAAAATTTCATCAAAACGTAGTAATTTTTTTCTTATTATATTCTATTTTCTCTCCCCCTCCCTCCCTCCCTCCTCTCCCTCTCTCTCTTTTTTAATAATATGGATTCGTTAACAATTTAAAAATGAAAAGAGAAGAGAAGAGGAAAGAAGAGAAGAGAGGGAAAGAAAAAACTCGAGATAATTTAAAAGAAAATGTTTGGAAAATTAAATTTTGAAAAATAAATACTACTACTTACACGCGTAAAACACGTTCAAAATAATAATAATAATAATAATAATAATAATAAAGCCCGCGAAATTTTTAATAATAAAAATAATAATAAAATTTTCTTTTCCTTGTTTTTTCATTTCCGTTTTTTTCACTTCCTTTTCCTTTTTGTTTTTTTCCGCGTAATAAAAACAAATTAATTGAATGAATATTTTCAACAACATTGAAAAAAAAAAAAACAAAAACAAAAAAACGATTTCACCGTAAAAAAAAAAAAAAAAAAAAACATTTATTATCATTATTATTATCATTATTATTAATTTAATCGTTGTTTAATTGACTATATAAATTTACATTTTTACGACTTTAAACGCGCGAATTTCCCGTATATATATATAAATAAAATTTTTATTTACGACGCGTTTTTAATTTTTTTTTTTTTTTGTTTATTTAAATAATTAATAAATTTTTAATTTTTTTTTAAGTTGGCAACACTTACACAATCAGGTTCATTAATTACCCGTAAGATTTAACATAATACGCCATCTTTTTTTTTTTTTGGTCGTTTCGGGTTAAAGAAAGAAAGAAAGTAAAACGAAAAGTTTATTACGAGTTTTTCCTTTTCCTCCCCCTTTCTCCCTTAACCTCCTTCCCCCGTTATTTTTACGTTTAAAAATTACATCGTAC